GGGGAGAAGAGTCGACCAGCTACTGCATTCCCACTTCATATTTGAATGGGTGCTAGATGTGACCATTTTACATTACACCGCACACTCTACATCAAAAGCTTAATTAACTTGAGTTCTGGTAAAAAAAAAGAAAATGAATTCTCACAGAATCTAACGAAACTTACACTGAATGTTCAAGATTACAAATAAATATCATGTGCCAAACAATTTTGGAAGAGTATACTGGCTGAGTAATGCATGAGCATAGAAAGATAAGGAAATCAGGGTAGTACTAGCCCCGACACCATGTGTGTTGTCCCATATACATCTTTCTGTGTAAGTGATTTTTACTTTACCAAGACTCTGCCAAATTTATGATGATTTGATGACTCCAGAACCTTGCGTTACACACCATTACTTACATGCTATATGATCAACTTTTCTGATCCATTCCACACCTTTTCTTTCACAATGCAATCGCATTACCAGAAATCAAGTTTATCTTTAACGGCGCATACTTTACATCTCACACGTTACAAGGCACATTTTACATGACACACTTTACATGACACACTTTACATCATATCGCACACTTTAAATAACACACTTTACAAGGCATACTTTACATGACACACTTTACATCTCATACTTTACAAGGCACACTGTACATGACACACTTTACATCGTATCGCACACTTAAAATAACACACTCTACATATCGCATACTTTACATTGCTCTCATCGTATTTGCATCTAACACTTTACATAATACGCTTTACATCAAATACTAGGCCAATATCGCATACTTTACATCATCCACTTTACATCACATACGTTACAACACACACGTTACATCACACACTTTAGATCGCCCCACTTGCCTTAAAAAGAATCGAGTGAGGTAAAGGTAATCTTCTTCTCAATATAAAACAAGTTATACGAGCAATTTTCGATACCCTAAAAATGGGTGGTGATTGTACTTGCATGCCCACTTCACTCTTCCTAGCTTCCTTAAAAAATGAGGAGCTAGTATACAGTTCAACCCTGTAACTTATATGTTAGTACTGAATAATATATCATGATAATAATTTTGTTTACCACGGGAAACCTCGTCAGCTTCAATGCTGTTCTTCCTGAGGCCCCTGCAATTATAACTACCCTAGCAATTTCCAGGGACCCATTTACACTTGGGTGGAGAGTGGCAAATTTTAATTAATTTCTTGCCAAAGGACGTTAGTGCCGGGCTGGGATTCGAACCCTCAACCCTTAGATTGAGAGTCAAGTGAATCAACTACTATACCACGACACACCCACAACTCTCCCTGAACGATTTTAGACGGTGAGGAAACTATTGAAGCTTTGAAATTAGATATTATAAACTCAGCTAAATAAATAATTACTCCTGACACTTTTTACTTTAACTCGATAGATGTATCATGAAATTTAAAGTAATTCAATTATAATATTCATAGCAGTCGGTACTAGAACAAAATTGGATGTTACGCTTCGTGATTTAATACAATGTCGAAGAATCTTTTGTTCATGACTTTCACAGACAAATAATTTGTCATTAAAATTCAATGTAATTTCATACATTTGAGTTGCAAGTTATAAGTCTGTGTATACATCAACGAAATAAGTAAGAAGTTGCTTCGTATTTCTTAACACAAATCACTTTAGAAAGATATCCTACTTTAAAACAATATTTCTCTATCGAAACATATTCCATTTTCTACAAACAACCAATCAAGCATTCTGTTCGGGTGGAGTGTTTAGCAAAAGCATCACAGCGCCCCAATTGTAACTTATTTATTGTATTTTTATATCGAAATACAATTCATACTACGTCAAACTTTTTAATTTGTCTTTCCTTGTTCGCTTTACTTCTCGTCAAATTGATAAATCCTGATGATTCCTGCATGGCAATGATCACTACCGAATCTATCATATCACAATATGTAGTGTATACTGATGACAAAACAAGATTTTGCCATAACAAAAATGCTTTTTTTTTTTTTGTGCTCGTATGTACTAAATATTTAAAGTTTTAAATTACCAACACTACTTCACGAGTAAACAGAAGTGGTAAGGAAAATTCGAATCTAATTACGATAAGAACGGGAAGCATAATCATGATTTAATAATTAATATTTGAAACTCCGTTCCCTTTTTTTCATTTTTACTAATCACACTATTCCATTATCGTGATCAGAGTCATCTTCACGTCACTTAGCTTTTCAGAATGAACAAAAATAGGGCAGATAGTGACAATTGTGAAACATTGGAACCACCTGTAATACACTGTCGCTCATAAAGTTAGAACATTTTTTGTTTACCCCAATTTATGAAATTATTTTGACAATGAATTATTCCTAATAGATCTAGATAATATAGGTTTTCCCGGCCAATTTCGTCAAAGCGGCGATCAATTTCACTAACTTGCATTCATGTTCGAGCGAATTTTCACCACTCGTTGCTCCCCTGTTTCATTTTTAAACTTTTTGCATTAAATTTCGTTTCGAGTCACCGAATTTTCGAAACAAGCACATTCAAATTAACGTTTGGTTCAGTCAATTTGGAAATGCGTTAGCGTCATTCAATTTCGCCAAAGTTGAGTGGGAGGACAATTCTTTGGCGAATTGCGGTTTCATTTTCGTCTATGGGCAACCTCTTTCACAATCGGGTCATTCAAATTAAAACTAGACCTCATAATTATTGTATGAGGCTCGATGTTTATTCGGATATTCATTTTTTCATGTTCATTTGTTTATTCTTTTTTTCTTTAGCAGTCACGCAAAAAAAAAAACTCACAAATTATTAGTCAATAAAATCTGAGAATGTAATATATTGTCTAGACCTATTAGGAATAAATCATTGTCAAAATCATTCCATAAAATTGGGGTTAAAACAAAATTATTCCACCATTATGACCAGCAGTGTATGTAACTTGATAGATGTTTCATGAAATTTAAAGTATTTCAGTAATTCAATTATAATATTCATAGCAGTCGGTACCAGGCGCGTACGCAGGATTTTTTCAAGGGGGGGGGGGGGGGGGGGGGTTTAACATTTATAAATCGGGCCGAAAATTTCGTAACGACTCAGCCCACCGCTGAATAAGCGGGGGGGGGGGGGGGGGGCGGGGGTAAGAGGACACCTTCTTTTTTTTTTTTGACCTCGAAATTTGAAAATTTGACATTTTGCTCCGTTGGGGGGGGGGTAGGGTCACCTGTTTTGGTCAGTCATGGGGATTATTATTATTATTATTTTATTTTTTTTAATAATTAAAAAAAAAAAAAAAAAAAAAAAAAATCCAAAAGGGGGGGGGGGGGGGGGGGGGGGGGGGTTTTAGGTTTTTTTTTTTTTTTTTTTTTTTTTTTTTTTGGGGGGGGGGGGGTTTATACACATAAAAATACCAAAGGGGGGGGTTAACCCCCCAAACCCCCCCCCCCCCCCCCCCCCCCCCCCCCCCCCCCCCCCCCCCCCCCCCCCCCCCCTGCGTACGCGCCTGGTCGGTACTATATGGAAACAAATTGGATGTCACGTTTCGTAATTTAATGCAATGTTTACCTGTGTATTATTCGCTTTTTCGAAGAATCTTTTGTTCATGACTTCCACAGACAAATAATTTGTCATTAAAATTCAATGTAATTTCATACATTTGAGTTGCAAGTTATACGTCTGTATACATCAACAAAATAGGTAAGAAGATTATTCAAATGTATAGTATGCTTCGTATTTCTTAACACAAATCACTTTAGAAAAATATCCTACTTAAAACAATATTTCTTTATCAAAAAATATTCCATTTTCTACAAACAACCAATCAAGCATACCGTTTGGGTGGAGTGTTTAGCAAAAGCACCACAGCGCCCCAATTGTAACTTATTTATTGTATTTTTATATCGAAATACAATTCATACCACGTCAAACCTTTTTAATTTTTCTTTCCTTGTTCGCTTTACTTCTCGCAAAATTGATAAATCCTGATGATTCCTGCATGGCAATGATCACTACCGAATCTATCATATCACAAATTATGTAGTGCATACTGATGACAAAACAAGATTTTTGCCATAACATTTTTTTTCTTCTTTTGGTGCTCGTATGTACTAAATATTGAAAGTTTTAAATTACCAACAGTATTTCACGAGTAGACAGAAGTGGTAAGGAAAATACGAATCTAATTACGATGAGAACGGGTAGCATAATCATGATTTAATAATTCATGTTTGAAAGTCCGTAACCTTTTTCATTTTCCTAATTATATTATTCCATTTTCGTGATCATAGACATCTCCACGTCACTTAGCTTTTCAGAATGTACGAACATTAGGGCAGATACTGACAATATTATGGAACACTCGAACCACCTGTAATAAATTACGATTACCAAATCCACGAACATAATCCTTGAAAAGATCATTCAAATATAAATATGCTAAGTTAAATGCTGGTAAATCTTTCATCCTTAGTCTACGTTTTGCTACGGTGACAAAGGTTCGTACGAACGATAATTTCGTACAAATCTCGCTGTTTTTCCATTGTCTGAAAATCGTTCGTACGGCGTACGTAATGGAATTTGTCGTGTTATAGTGGTTCATTAATCCACATTTGCCAATAGCCATCCAGGTGTTATCAGGCGTAATGGTAATTGCAGGACACGCAGTATTAATGACATGTCCATGTATACACATCCTTTTACCGTCATTCACATTTTTACACATCTCATACAATGATATTTCTCCCAAAAACTCTTTCACTCACTCTGCTTACTTCAGACCAGCTACAAAGAAAAATCAATATATTCTGTAGCACCATGCAACTTTTGAGGAAATCATGTTCACTCATGTATAAATCAATTATAAATGAAATATTCTTCAAATGTCAAGTCCAGCTCATTTCAATATATCCTCATACTATTTGTAATCGTCTTCATTTTAAGTTTTTGGCTTTGAGTTGATTTAACATCACAAGTAGATAAGAAATTGTAACGCAATAACGACAGGTGGCAACAAATGATTAATTTACATATAAAAAAATTAACATGTTATTAAGCAATTATGTATAAGCATACAATGTTTAAAATAGTGAGGAAGACACAACCAAGACTCCCTTTCTACAAATAGAAGTGATTAGATTATGGTGCACAATAATGGATAATTCCTATTGACATACATGTAACAATAAAGCATAAACATGTGCATACTTTTTCTATCCATCAAAAAATGATATTTAATTACTTCATGATATTTATATTGTATGTTCTCTATTAGCTACCAAACAAGGGCATCTTAAATTATTTGATTGGATAAACAAGACAACATAAGTCCAATCAATAAAGTCCTTAATTTTGATTAAAACTGAAGACAGGGTCCTAGAATGACGGTAAAGAAGAGTGGGGGTGGTTGTGCCGCCCTTTTACCACACTTAATTACAAACATGTACATTTATTACGTAAATCATGACCTGGGGAGATTCAAACATTATCAATAGTCAACACGAATTTGTCACATTATGTTATTCATGTGAAAATATGGAGGTTTGCAAGCAATAATACAAGATAGGTACAATCAAAATAAAGGGGTGTGCTTGATTACATTACTATTTTCTTCTTTATATATCAATAACAAAACTTGTGCAATGTTGCTAACGAGTAGTAGCCATTTAAAACAAAAAATGTATTATATCTACTAATGGTGCAGTCTAATGTATTGAGAACTTTTCCAGGAAAGTGGTAATTTTAAATTCTGGCAAACACCCCTGCTACACATGGTGAAGAAATCAATATGGTTCAAAATACATGCTCTAAAATGGAGACTATTTATCAAGTTTAAACTTCAAGGGTAGGGACATATCTTTATTAAAATTCAGTCATTAATGCAAACAGAAGAAACAAAAAACATGATATGAATAGATAATGAAAAGCAACACTCCCACAAAATGAAATGAATGTACATCATTTTATAAACACGATTCTATTCATAGGAGATGGCAATAAAGAGGAAAAAAGCGAATCAAATATGACAAACCAAAAGGATCTTTTTATAGCAAGAGGAATAATCAGACAAATAAAATCTGCTTGGTACAATTTGCATATATACAAAAGACACCTTTTCCATTTGCTAAACATGGCAGCAGAATATTCTCCAATTTGCGACACGAGCCAAATTGCAGAACAATTCAAAAGCGATAAAATAGCCCACATACATGTACTTCATGATAAAATTGCACTATGGAAGAATATGAGGAGGGGATGATTACAAAGGCCGATAAGAACAAACATGAGCTTCTAGCACAACCCATAATGTTTTTGATTTTCTGGAGACATTCTTATAGGCTAAATCCAACTATAAAATTGTTAATATGAGAGCAAGTCCAAGGGATATGCTCTCAATATTCCCTCATAAGTTTAACCTTTAGACTTGAGTTGTTGTCATAATCTGCATTTTTAATGACCTTGATATTTGTTAGTTTACCATATTCACTTACAGCAAACGGCGCTAATAAGATGATTTATACAGTGATTAGTGTTCCAAATTAAAAAAACCTTTTGTGACCAAAAATATATAAAATGGTGCAACATTCTAACTTAATCATGATCAGAACCGAAATACGGTACCCAATAAAGAGTATGGATACTTCGATATACTGTGCATGCCAAAAACACAGTGTGATAATACTCTAAAATGGTAGATGGCCAAGAATTCAGAGCTGTTCAATTTGTTTTCCCCATGCTATATTCATTTACATTTCTGTGTCTGTCCAACACGTTTACCCTGATCATCATTTGGTGATTTGATCACAAGTAGTTGTCACACCAACTCTTTAAACATTTATAGCAATCTCCACCCTGTTTCTTGTTTGCTCCTGCTTCTTCCTTCAGCCATTGCATGAACATTTCTTCATCTTTCTTTAGCACCAAGAACTGTCCTAGGACAACGTAGGCCTGTGAATAGAAAGAAGGAGAGAAAGAGAGATAGATAGATTAATAGAGAGAGAGAGAGAGAGAGAAAGAGAGTGAGAGAGAGAGAGAGAGAGAGAAAAGAGAAAGAGGGGGGGGGGGGGGAAGGGGGATTGGGGAGAAAGAAAGAGGAAAGAGAGAAAAAATGATTTCACATGTCATATGATACACTTTCTAAATCATGGGTATGCATGAAACTAGTTATTGTGTGTGTTGTTTTGTTACAAGTGTGTATTTTTTTCTTCATCTTTTTCTTTTTCAAAGCAGCCAGGGATATGGGCAATGTATGATACATTGGTAAAATTCAGAGCTGGGTGCTCAGATGAACAATTCAAAAGAAATCTCATCCCTATGTATGACAATGACATCCACTTTATCTGGAAATGTATTGGTAAGAACTGATTTACTGATTTTCCTCACATTTCACAACAGATTCATGTATTTTTTGCATGTTTATGGAACAGGTGTGTAAACAATTTTAGACAATGTTCTATGATGAAAACAACACTCCAAGTTAAATGCCTGCAAATGGGAATAATGTTAATCAACTAATCACACACTTCTCTCTGGGATGAGACAGCTGTGTTTTACAATCAACTCCACTTGATTCTAACAAGTCTCTTTGCACAGTTTGCTTTCTTCAGTTTCATAACAATCTCATTTTGGGGCAAACTTAAGACATTCTACTAGAAGTACATGCACAAATCAGCCAAGGCTTTTCCCTTTTTGAATTTCAAAATATAACAATGCATTTTTTCCCTTCAGAACAAAGGTATGCTTGCTACCACATTCTGGCGACAACGCTTTCCATGCATGTGCTCCTCGACTCTGGAATGAGCTTCCATGTTTTATTCGATTAGCACCTTCGCTGGATGTCTTCCGAAAATGTCTCAAAACTCTCCTCTTTGACCATGATCAACAATAGATTCTTTGATAATTTTTATGTAAAGCGCTGTGAAACAACAGTTAGTTTGTAAGAGCGCTATAGAAATGACTTTATTGTATTGTATTTTATTGAGATTGTTTCAGGGCTTCACGCTTCTTACCTTATCAAAGCCTTTATCACAAAGTCTTCCACCAAGAACAGGTCCTATTCCAGCCATGTCTGTCACTTCCTTTTCTCCCATGGGCTCTGATACAAAGTCTCTGTGTTTCTGTGATGTTGATTGGGCCATGTTGCACTCTATTGCATGGAGAGAAAAATATGCATAAGGCAAATGTAAATTGTTAACAATCTGGTGTGAATGAAGGAAAGTAGTTGCTAGACAAAAACTTACAAAGAACTTAAGAATTACTATTATACTGCCTTTGTTTTTTCAAATGTGAAAACTATTATTATTGTTTAATGTAAAAGTTCACAATCTCATAATAAAACAGAATATAAGAAATAGCATGCTCAACATTGAACCCAAGTTTTAGCCCTTGCAAGTAAATTTGACGAAACAAATCAATGTACACACATGTAATACATGAGATTTTATGCAAACCCTGATTCCTATGCAGAGATGCCAACCTCTTGACAGTAAAAAAACAGACTGAGTATCCTAAAAAAAAAAAAAAAAAAGATTTTGGAGAGAAAAATCAGATTTTCATGAAAACTCAACACTACCAATGGCCGGTTGGCCCCGGGCCAGTAAAATTTCAGAAAAATGTGATACTGGTACAGTGTACGTACAGTCAAGTACAATGTTTGTAAACTTGTAAAGCAAAGTTTTTGTTGGGGCTGCAGGGGTTTACTTGTTCATATTTTAATGGGGTTCCATGGTTTTTATGGGTATTAAACAATTTTTTATTTATTTTTTTAAAATAAAAATTTAAAAAATTTAAAAAATTTAAAAAACTTTAAAAAAGTGATATCGTATTATCGTATTCCACTCTTATTATCGTACTAAATACGATTAAATAGTACTGGTTGGCACCTCTGCCTATGTAATGTATGAATTAGCCTTAATGTTTCATGACAATGACTATCCCTTTTTGCACTATCATCTTTTAAAGGGGGAGTCAACTCTGTCCCTGCTCCCTCTATTGGTCTTATAAATTATCTAGTATTAAAGTGACTCAGTAACATTGTTGAAGGTTGATGAAAAAATTGCTTAATTTGTGTATAAAATGTTACTTTATTAAGCTCATTCTATTGTACTAACCCTCTGACAATCTGACATGCAAAAAATCCTGACAAAAATCTCAAACCACAAAGATATCTATGGTTTTCTTTGAAAGAGTCACTGTGCAACACCCTCTTAACAGTGATTAACAGTAAATTCTTCCAACCATTTTTCCATGAAAAAAAGACATAAAACAGGCTACTAAAAATCTGTCAACACTTAAATGTCTGGAATGGTATGAAGAGCCACTTCATTGCTTTGTGACGATTTACATTCACCTTAAATGTAAATAAATTGTAATAATATAGTTGGGAGAATTAAGGAGTCGGTCAGATCAGTTTTTCCCAATTTGTATCATTAATAATGTCCATTTTCACTCAAATTTTCAGATTATCTTTAATTGTACATGTACATCTATCTACATGTAGGATTGAAGTCACCACCGTAGCACCATTATCTCTCATCTAAACAATGTTACTAAGTCCCTTTAATGCAAGCAGACAAATGAGTTCTAAAGACAAATTATCTAAAGTTTGAGCAATATCAGATCAAAAATAGAGTCTGAATAAATTCTGATAAATATTAAGTTTACTAGTTATGAATTTTTAAAGTTGCAATTATGGTGAGGTCTAGTACCCATCAGCATTTTTTTTTCTCCAGGGGGAGGGGTGTTGAGTAAAATCCCATCCTCCAATTCATACCCTATCAGAACATGAACAAATATTGGGAGTAAACCAGCCATTCTGAAGAGCAATAGCAGATTCAAAAATCAAAATAGGTACTTTTTTAACCACTTTTGGAAATTCTTGCAAAAGCGTGCGCGTACATCAATTTTGGAGTTAAATTAACGTCTTTGAGCTAAATTTAGGTCAATAATGGCTAAAAGTGATTTGAAATTGCTAAGAATAGTATCACTAAGTATCATTCAGAAATGAAAATGTATTTGAATGAAATATGGTCAATATTAAGAATTAACAAAATATAAATACTTGCAATATCAATCTTCAACAATGTTATGAAAAGAATATGTTCTTTTCTATTTATATATTTGTATATTGTCTTAATGACTCTTTAGAAATACATGTATGCAATTTATATTTTTTAATGTACATGTACATGCGTTTTCTACAACTTCATCTTTTACTTCTTTCTTCATGTTTCTCCTCTCCGTTTTCCTGACTTCAAGTTATATTCTGTTTTCTTATTTTTGCTGCCCAAGCAATCTTATGATATTAACTATATATATTCCAATATTGACATCAATTGTAATTGTATTTTATGTTTGAAATATGCAATGAGTGTTTTAATTGTACACATGACCAATTTACCCATTGGGCTGCGACACATTTTTTTAAAAATTACCTTGAATTGAATGGCGCCTCAGATGATACCACGCATTAGTAATTAAAAAATCCTTGTTAAGATCAATAATCATGCATGGACTCTAATATGCCACATGCCATGAAAGTTTCATGGTCATTCACCACGCCATTCATGAGATATCCATTCCACACACCACGTAACAAAATTCATAGCACAGAAAGAAAAGAAATCAATAGGTGCTCTGCCATGCGACAGATGACCTGCTCGAAATTGCTGAATAAGCAAAAGTTGTCTCTTAGATCATGCATATTCAGCAATCTCGGGCGAACAGCGCTCTTTATCATGAATATTCTTTGTTTTCCTTCTTTCATCTTCTCTTCTATCTTTTCATTTTCTCTTTCTGTCTTTCCTAATATTAGTCTTTGTTTCTCCTTCTATCACCTTTTCTTATTCTTGTTTTTATCGTTCTATACTTTTGTTCCTATCATTGCTTATGTTATTCTTTGTTTTTCTATTTCTCTTTCTGTCTTTCATTATGTTATTCTTTGTTTCTTCCTTCTATCATCTTCTCTTATGTTATTCTTTGTTTTCATTCTATCACTTTCTCTTTCTGTCTTTCCTTAATAATGTTATTCTTTGTTTTTTCTATCATTCATCTTCTCTTCTATCTTTCCATTTTCTTCTAGATCTAGAGTCTATTTGTAATTTTGTATCACTTTCTCTTTCTGTCTTTCCCTATCTTGTTTTTATCAAACTATCACTTTCTATGTCTTTCCTAGACCGAAAGCTTCAGTCTCTATAATCGTCGGTTGTTCCACTGAGACTACGTCTGGCTCCACTAGACCTCCGGTTATAGAGACAGAACGATCGCCTATGCCAGCCTGTGTTGAACTTATTCCGCTAGATTTTAGCCGCTAGGCCCCTCCCACAAACTTGCCACGGCCGTATTGTTATGCCCCCAAAATCCCCCAAAATGTCATTTTACCTCGTTCATTTCCAATTTTAAATTAGGCCTAGGCTATAATACATCGGTTCCACTTACTAACTTGATTGATATAATCCGTTTAATGGTCCCTTTTAAGGAAATTATCGGTCAAAATCGACATCCATGTTGAAAATCTTGCAAGCCGTGTTAAACTCTCGCTGCCGTCAATCTCATCCCTTCTAGTCTACGCCGAAGGCAAAATGATTATGAAGGAAAAACTGTGCGCCATCTACACGTTCGTAATGGCGTTATCACAGTTTTTCCTTCATAATCATTTTGCCTTCGGCGTAGACTAGAAGGGATGAGATTGACGGCAGCGAGAGTTTAACACGGCTTGCAAGATTTTCAACATGGATGTCGATTTTGACCGATAATTTCCTTAAAAGGGACCATTAAACGGATTATATCAATCAAGTTAGTAAGTGGAACCGATGTATTATAGCCTAGGTCTAATTTAAAATTGGAAATGAACGAGGTAAAATTACCTTTTGGGGGATTTTGGGGGCATATAACAATACGGCCGTGGCAAGTTTGTGGGAGGGGCCTAGCGGCTAAAATCTAGCGGAATAAGTTCAACACAGGCTGGCATAGGCAGTCGTTCAGTCTCTATAACCGGAGGTCTAGTGGAGCCAGACGTAGTCTCAGTGGAACAACCGACGATTATAGAGACTGGAGCTTTCGGTCTATGTCTTTCCTAGCTTATGTTCATGTCTTTTTCGTAGAGTCCGACCAAAAATGCAAAATGATATGAATATTGCAGAGTTTTAGAGGGGCTGTATCTTTTGATAGAAACATCGGTGAGTCTTGAAATTTGAAATGTATTATTCTGATTACATTTTTGATTCACAACAAAAAAAAATGGTGGAAAACGATCGAAAAATAGACTCTAGAGTCTAGGCCTAGTCTAGATCTAGATCCTGGCTCTAGACTAGGCCAAATTGAAGATTGAAAAATCGTCCAGACACCCTGACCCTAGTCTAGACTATTTCTATTAGATTATTATAGATCTAGAGTCTATGACTATATAGAGTCTAGATCTAGATCTAATTATATATTTAACAGTGCTAAATTGACAAATTCAAACTGATTGTAAACTTCTCCAATACCCCAATGTGCATGTGCGGGACATGATAATAAATTGTGCATTGAATGTCAGCGAGCTACGACGCCTACATCATGACACGCATCGCGTACGCGTCGGATCACGATGCGTCGGCGCTCCCTGGAGTTTTACCTACGCAAAATAACACACATGGGAATGGACACTGTTAAACTAAAAAGCCACGTTTAAGATTTAGGTCTAGATCTATTTATACTTTAGATAATTAATAGTTAACACATATGAAACAACGGCACTCACAACATTAAAAATAAACTTCTTTAAAAAATGGCTATATTACTGTGTTTATACAATTACATTCACTTACCGAGATGACGTTGCTAAACCAAATTCAAAAATCCCTTTTCTGACTGTTTCCGCCTTTTTCTCTCATTGAAATAAGCGACCAATAAAGGACCAATGCAGTACCAATAACGGGGGATACAGTGTCTCTAAAACGCCCAATAAAAAGGGAAAATAAAATGTTGAACGTCTCGGATGTAGAGACTAGATTAAACCGTCTAGGATTCAGGCCAAGGCTCAAACCGGCATAAAGGGGCTCTCATGTTTAACTAGGAAATTGACAAAATGTTTTTTTTATATTCAAAAGCTTTTGAACCTATCGCATGACATTTTAAATCTGAAACCTGTAGTGTGACATAATTATACAGTGCGTCCCAGAAAAAACGAAACCGAGAATTATCGATGTTTTATCATAACTTAATCACATTTATAATTGATAAATGACACATATTTGGAAAGCTTAGATCCTCCTCTTTCATTTGATGTAACTCATAAAATACATATATCAAGCATGAGTGATTAAAAGCAATTTGAAAAGAGGAAACCAAAAAGTCATTTGGCGAACGGTACCTGAAATGAAAATCACATTTCTAGAAAGTTGCGTTTCTGCCCTTTCATATGACACCTCAATCAGGACAAATAAGCAAGGAATAACAAAGTTCTGTTTGTTTAAAGTAGTGCTTGCATTTCCATAATTTTATCAAACGAATTCGTTTTCACTGGGTGCCTGTTTTTTTCTACAGCAGGCAGCCAGTGAAAACGAATTCGTTTAGTTAAATTACGGAAATGCAAGCATTACTTTAAACCAATAGAACTTTGTTATTCCTGGCTCACTTTTCCTGATTGAGGTGTCATAATATGAAAAGGCAGAAAATGAACTTTCTAGGAACGTGATTTTTACTTTGAAATTCAGATACCGCCCGCCAAATGACTTTTTGATACCCTCTCTTCAAGTTGATTTTAATCACTCATGCGTGAAATATGCATCATATGAGTTGCATGAAATGAAAGAGTATGATCTAAGCTTTAATAATATGTGTCAATTATCAATTATAATTGTAATCAAACATCGATAATACTCGGTTTCGTTTTTTCTGGGACGCACTATATATTTGATATCCTGCATCAACAATTTATTGGTGTTTGTTTGGTTAAAAGTGTGTCACATGGTCAAAAATAAACACACTATTTTCCCAAGCCGTGAATACTACCTCAACTAAATGTACTATTTACGGCTGGGCAAAATTTAACTTTTTAAAATTAAAATTGCAAAATGTTAACATGTTCAAAAAAATTGATGATAATTTGCGGTCTAATTTGATGAATTTGATATGTATGCCCATACACCCAGACACTGTCATGACAGATTTGCGTACCTGAATTGACCACTTTTTACAGTTGAAATGAAGAAAAAAAACACGTATTTAATGGAAATAATTGAATAAGTGCAGTAATTTTGACCATTTCGGACATCTTAGATTTCAAGGAAAAAGTGTGAGAACCCCTTCTGTAGAGATAAGGCAGGATTTCCGCCCGTTATGTCGTCTGGATCGAGACGGGAGAGGATTTTATTGACATTCACAGTCATTGTCCAAAACCACACATCCACTTAAGAAAAATGAAACTACATAAAAGGGAGCTCTATGTGTATAGTAAATTATTCTTTTAATACAAAATATATTGCATGAGAGATGTAATTGTTTTTAAGCAAAAAATACATTCCACAATAAAATGCAATAAAAAACAATGGCTCTCGAGTGAATAAACAAGTGAACCAATATTCCATTAAACACATTAAGATAAACTTGAGTTCTGGTAAAAAAAGAAAATGAATTCTCACAGAATCTAACGAAACTTACACTGAATCTTCAAGATTACAAATAAATGTCATGTGCCAAACAATTTTGGAAGAAGATGTATACTGGCTGAGTAATGAGCTTAGAAAGATAAGGAAATCAGGGTAGTACTAGCCCCGACACCATATGTGTTGTCCCATATACATCTTTCTCTGTAAGTGATTGTTACTTTACCAAGGCTCTGCCAAATTTATGATGATTTTGATAACTCCAGAACCTTGCATTACACACCATTACTTACATGCTATGTGATCAACGTTTCTGATCCATTCCACACCTTTTCTTTCACAATGCAATCGCATTACCAGAACTCAAGTTTATCTTTAAGCAATATCAGTAAGACGGTCCTGTCGTTTGAAATCATACATAAATAATGCGACTGAAACGACTACAAAAATAATGATACATAAATCTATCTCATTTCCCTCCTAGATAAAAAGAGACTATTTTTCCTTTTTCAAATCTATAATGTACCAGGTTTTCATAGAAGATTATTATTTAAAAAGTATTGCGGTGAAAGCTTATGTCAGCACTGAGGCGGCAGGATAACTTGGTGAAAATGTAAACACACACACTCACAATTCAAATGTTAGTTGGAAATATTGCATGGGTAGGTTTGTAATGTTTATATTTCATATTAAAACACCAATGCCTCGCACACAAAAATACAATCTGGATTACATATGACTTACATTAGCGAATTCAACTCATGGTGACTTAATTTTCAGTCTTTCATAGCTATACTTCAATAAATATATATTTCAAGGTATACTTCAATTTTTTAAAGTAGGATAACAGCAAGCATTCAATGTATAAAACATTTATAATTATCCAATTTCCTTTCAATACCAAAGCTGCCAAATAAAAGTGCTCTAGCCATTCAGAGAACGTCTTCCTACCTGGTGCCCAGATTACCAGATATTATACCTGCATGGCTAATTGTATAGAGTTGTCTTTTCTGCAGAATGAGATATAAACTCACAATATATTTTGATCGATTAATATTGTGAAAGTACATGTACAAAACAATAACTGAGATAATTATAGATACTAATATTTCTGACTCGTTGAGGTTATACATAAAATAAATATAAACCAGAAGTGTGTATACAAAAAAGTCATATAAAAAGGTGTCACACATTGAAAGCCCACATTTTTCTGAACATTTTGATATCAAATACTCATACTCATTACGTCTTTGTGTTACTGAACCCTCGATTTGTTGTAAATGTTTATAATTGATTTGTAATGTTTTGTTGGAAACATGAATAAATTGAAATGGAAAAAAAAGTGAACTGAAGATACTGGAAAATACTGATGTAAGCTGTGTTATAGCATATGCAATATCTTTAACGCATCAATTTTACACGAATCCATTTTTATTCTCCAACAAGTAAGTCCTTTGAACAATTACTTTACTCAGAAAATGCAAACCCAAATTAAGAATAACCCTGGTACACGAGGAAGACCTAGAAACAAGAAGGGAGATAATGTGAGGGAATGAGGAAGGGAGAAAGACAGAAAGGTAGGTGAGGTGGGATGGGGGGGGGGGGGAGTAAACAGAGAAGGCAGAATCACATACATGTATAACTAGAAAAAAAAGACGCATTACATATTTAGAAAGAAACAAATCATTTCACAAAATGTAATGAAAAGTAATATTTTGATAATTTTCCTCTTATATGAATAAAGTTCATATCAGCTTCAATTTGTAACAAGTTTATTCTATCATCTCTTCTAATGTACAATAGTGAATGTATAGTAAATGTAGGAAACATGCAAAAATATATCACAAAGTCTACATATTTTGGAGTAAAATTATTTACATCAGCCCTAATATGATAACATGCAACAAATCATTTGTGAAAACACATAAAGACGAGGTATTCTCTTCACCTTACAGTAACATTATCTGGATAATAACACTTGAGTTTTTCCCTTTGCTTTGTTTAAAGACTTTTGGGGATAAAAGGGGTGAATATTTCGGACAGAAAAGACAAAAGTGTAACCATCAGCCTCAGTTTTGTAGTTCCAGCTTATTTTATTAACAACAAATAGAATTTCTTTCTCATGCAGTCTGATTTATTGCACAAAACTATTTCAGAATCCTCTCCGACCAACATAATTCATATAAGGCGACTCTTTCTTGGGTGTGAACATGTTACCTCTAGAGAAATAAAATCTTACATTAGATGGTATGACATGCATTTGAAATGACCAACATGCATCAAAATCGATTCTCAAAAATAAGAGCAAAATACTATGAGAAGAAAAAAAAAAAGAAAGAAAAGCCAGTGATAATTTTGGCAAGTAAGAAATACTAGTGAGCGAAGTTAATTAGGAATTATTCATGTAATAAAATGTGTTGACAAAACGAAACTAAAATCATAAAATAATAATACAATAAATCAAACAAAAATGTCACCAGTACTGATTAACTTCATACTGGTCAATTTTCAACAATGCAAGTGTGTAAGTACTGTAGTTGGGTTTTTGTTGGGGGGGGGGGGGGATTGAATTGTTGTGCACTCTCACTCACATTACTTCATAACTTCCAGTGTAAACAAGTAAACACAAACTCTTTCTTATGTTACATTGGTTAGAAATGTTTAGTTACTTCTGTTGTTTTAATAGATTAGTGTTACATAACGTCATCTGAGCAGCAGCAGACCAATATTTTTGGCCTATTTGGGACTCACCATGCAAGGCCTGCTGGTGTGACCAGCTGTCAACAATTATCTGTTGATACCTGAACTGGCTATTGTTCGCAATCGCACAATATATTACATACTTGTACAACACAAACCAAAAAACACTCTTGTTTAAATTTTCGTTGATATCTGAGATGTACTCTTTTTCTTGTAGTCATGTCAACAATCATACACACATCAATGTTTTACAAATAAAATCATGCAATATGTCAAATAATACTTGCGCACACACATATTTGATGGCAGTCTGATTACTCATTGCCATGTTTCCAGCACATGGCTATTCTAGGCATATATTATCTGTTTATGAATTCAGCATTGGGTAGAACAATCTTTGAAAAAAAACATGGGTTTCAAAATGAAAAAATGGCTTTGAACATCATCAATAGTAACATGTGCAAAGGCAGGTTCAATGACACTATCATTTTCACAAACGACTGTTTCTCTAGGAATGTTTCCATCTTGAGCCAACTGCTTTACACATAAACATTTCATAAGCAGACAGGCACAATTGTAAGGATAGGGAAAGAGCAGCATTATAGACAAGATAGATAGATAGAGATATAGCTATGTGATAGATAGAGAATGAAAAAACAACAACATATACATATATTTGGCAGGCACTTGATAACATATTTAATTTATGATTCCTTTCTCTTCAATCTATGGAAATGTATGGAGGAGAAGGCAGAGGAAGAAGAATCTGTCTGCCTATCAGCCCAGTAGGATGATAACATCTGTTCACAGCTAGAAAGGCATTAACTCTGTACTTAAAAATGAGTAAATGCCCTTCTGGCTCCTAACAGACAACATACGCTGCAGAGACATTAACACTGGGATTTATTTGTCACAGATTAGGGTTAGGGTTAAAGTTGTGGTTGGGTCTAGGTTATGTTTAGGCTTAAGTTTAGTATTGGGTCTAGGATTATGGTTAAGAATTAAAGTTAGTGTTAGAAAATGACCATGTAGCAATCTTCTCTGGAACATGTGTCATTGGTCTCCGATAGCCTTGGAGACATCCTTTAGCCCAGGAGATTGGACCAGTTCACTCCTTTAAAGAAGGGATGAGCTTTGACCTCATCCGCCCCTGACTGACCTCCACCAAGGCGCTCCAGAGGATTCACCTGTAAAAGCTGCAGATTGGGACGAAAGCAGAAGTTAAGAGGGAATTAAGATTGTTGAATTGAATTGAATTGAATTGAATTTAATTGATTTAGTTTTTCAGCAATTCCGTGATGTCATTGTTAACCTATCATGAACTGATGCTTACAGGGGACCAATCACCTAAAAGAATTATGGAAAATTAGTATGTCTAAAAATCAAACCTCCCAAAACTATCCAGCTCTCTATGGAGTAGCAGTTAATACAGAGCATGGAGGAAATAAAGGATAACATAAAATGATACTCAAATGGTACTTAGCTTCTCAGCACATGCATGCGGCACCTATAGTTTTTAACAGTATTGTATGCCTTTTGCAGGCCCAAAATGCAAATTTGCATTAATGCAATAATAAAATACCAATGGTATATAAAAGAAAGCATCTTTAGAAAACTCCCCTCCAAATATAAAACTAGAAACTGGAATTTTTTTTTTTTTTTTTTTTTTGGGGGGGGGGGGGGGGGGGAATGGACTGGTAGATTGCAAATTGCGTTTCAGGTGGCTCCCAAATTATCGATTTAGAATGGAGCACCAAGTGTTACACTTGTAATCTGTGAAAAATCAATGTTCCTGTAATAAATTAAAAATTTTACAAACTGGTTTACTTCTCGAAACTGGTCACAGGACTGGTTTTGACAAATAAAATGATTGGTCAAATTGATTTCATATAAAAATTATGGATTTCTATGTATTCTCAACTGTTACACTTAGTGCTTCATTATCGCCATTCAACAACGGTCAGACAGACTCACTTGTGTAAGGAGATTTTTAGCTTCTGGAGAGATGTGATCAGGAATAAAGAGCTGTGTATGGCTACTGATTCCACTAGGGTGACAGCTGTACAATGACTGGATGTGAATAAAAGACCAAAAAATACATTCAGCATTCACATTCACTCAAAGCACAAGGCAACATGTTCCAAAGGAGCCAGAGAGAGCAAGACTAGTTCAATTCACAAACATTATGAAATAAGATTGAATTGAATTGAATTTATTCATTCACCACCATTGAAAACATTGAAACAAAAGATATTTAAATGTACAATGACAATGTCAATATAATATAAATATAAACCCGACATAAATTAAAATACATGTTCTACAGCAATATACATTATAAAAATATAAAAAATAGTTACAAGTAATTTAGTGTCAAGAGTAAAACAATAAATACCTACTTACAATGGGTTTGTGATTGATGGTAAATGAAATAGAATTAAAAAATAGCTCATGTGCTAGTCGAGCCTGACTCTCATTATCTAAAGCCTAAAATAAAGTTTATAGAAAAATACATGATGGGTTTCCATATCCTATAAATAAGATTTGTGTAAAATATTACAATTAAAAAAACGAGACTGGTTGCTATATACACTACAACTGTATAATTAATAGGCTATAATTCATGGTTTTCACCTAAGAGTAATCAAGATCGCGAAAGAGTAAGATAGCTAGATATGATAATTTCTTCAATTTTCCCAGAAAGAACAGGACATAAATAACTGTACACACCTGACCGGTGAGTAATTCAAACAAGATGGTCCCATAGCTCCACCAATCACACGCCGGTCCAACCCCAAAGATGCTCCCTGCCTCAGGAGCGGTGTACATGTTGGTCAGTGCCTTGAGGTTCATCTCCTGACATACCCACTTCCACTGACTGAAGTACGTCAGTCGAATGTGACCACCTTCTGCTAAGAGGATGTTGTCGGGATTGAGATCTCTGTCAAGGAAAGATAATTGCTGCTATTTTGAAGGAGGGTATCACTGTGACGTGGACCCCTTTCTCACTCACTTTGCTGGATTGATCTAAACTACACCGATCCACTGGATCATACGGTTCATTTGGTTTCACACTCATCATAATTTTTACCCCGATTAACACGTTATGCCATATCAACAGAAACTGTTCCTGTTGATATGATAGCAAGAGTCATTTTTGCGCGTGATCCAAATGTATATGGCGGCCTGTAAGTCATGGTTTGATTTGTTTCCATCACAAAATTACTATTTATATTTATAAACATCTTTCCCTTTCTTATTCTTTATTTACTGTTCTATCAACCTTTATTCGATCTCTCCTTATGTTATTCTGTTTTCATCATTCTATCATTTTGTTTCTATCTATCCTTATTCTCTGTTTTTATTCTTGTACTGTAATCTCTTTCTCTCTTTCATTACGCTCCCGCCAAAACACATTCACTTCCGGTTGTAGTACGCTTCCTGGCACGGTTTTGTTTCACACTGCATGCTAGATCAGTCTTGGTCGGTCTAGGAACAAACTGGGTCAGAAGATCACTTCCTGGCACGGTTGTGCATATCATTAGACCGATCTAGTGTAGATCGGCCCAGGAAGTGAGTGAGAAAGTGGTCATAAACTTCATTTACAAGGCCACATGTAAGTCATTTTTACTTTTTCACAAAATAATGATAATCACAGCAGAATTAACATGAATATCCCAGTACAAAAAGTACAAAACTAATAAGAAGTTCTATTTTGTCAATTGATTATGCTGCAAAGTAACCCTTGGTTGAATTCTTGAAAAAAAATTGCATTAAGAAAGAACTATAAGACTTGAGACTATTAGGTCCAGAAAGAAAAGCATGCCATAAATAGAAAGGAGGGGCAAGTAGAATTTGCTCAACTCTCTTTCAGGGTAAGCATGATGGTTTCCTTGTCTCCTGTTTGAATTTCTTTCCAGGACATTACTACGGTAATTGTTTGAAGAGATTGTAAACTTGCAGTAAATAATTCTACTTGATTAAACCATTTAACATATAACCTGACTAAACTTACAACTGTAATGACAGGGATTTTCATGTTTCATCAACAACAATGTTTATTTGATATGGTTGACCGTCAAATCAACAAGACTGAATATTTCCTCCATACCTGCATATGATGCCAGCAGCATGAAGGGTGGCCAAAGCAAAGAGGATTTCTGATGCCCAGATGCGGACACAGGATTCAGGCAGAGTTGCGGCACTGCTTTCTGCTCTGGATCGCCTCACATCATCCAGATGAGAAAACAACCTTGAAAGCGATGGCAAAGAAGTATCCTGCATGCCTAAGTGTTCCCCTTTAAGAGTGGACGTCCTTGAGTTTGTTGGTGTTGTGTTTGCTTCTCCTACCGATCCATCCTCTCCACCATATATGTTGTCCTCCATTGCTTCCCCACTTTGGCATAATGCATAAGCACTGTCTGTTGACACTGCTGATGTACTACTGAGAACAGCTTTGACATCAGGAGCAGTTACAATGTTACAGCATTGAGAAGCAATCTCAGGGTTTGAGTTGATTGGTTTGAAAGTGTGCTGAGGGGTCGACTGGGCGGAAATTGTTGATGAGCTCGGAAAGTCCTTCATTACACCTGTGCAGGGTAATTTTGCATCTGATGGATTGACACTCACATACGTCATCGAAGAATTGGAGTCTGTCCTATTGGTAATGACGAGCTGATTGTCATTATCAAATGGATTGATGTGTAAATTCATATCCTTTTGGTTGGCGTGAGAAAGATTTCCTCCTCTCTTCGAATCAGTATTCTGCATTTCCTTCTCAATTTCCTCTGATGTTGCTCCATCTGGATTCTGTCTCGGTTGCCCTAAGGTGTCCACTTCATTTTGGTCTCCTGAACTCATGTCTAATCTGTTGTCTCCTTGAATATAAATGTCAGCCATATTAGGATCCTCCTTTACATCAAACACATCACCAATTCTGTCATCATCATCATCTCTTGGAATGTCTTTTGGCACATCTGGCAAAGTAAAAACACCAGGAGCATCATGCTCTGCAGTTTCCTTCCCGTCAAAGTCTAAGGACTTAATCTCAGTTTCTTTTGATTCTGTACTGGTATCAAAGCCAAACCCTTTTGTGTCTGTTACGTCACCATCAAAGAAGGAATTCCAATCATTTCCTTCCCGAGATTGAGACTCTCCACCCATGGAAACTGTCCTTTTTGTGTCTCTACTCAAAAAATTCTTTCCTAATGGTTCATTCACAAGTGTGTTGAACATGCTTGCACTATGCATAAATGGAGGGTGAGGACGAGGTTCACCACTAAATGTGTCCTTGGGGTCATGTCTGCTTGCTTTTTCAGATAAGGACTGGCTCCTTTTCTTTGGTGATTGAGAGCCAGAGTCAAAGAAATCTGCTAGATCAACACCAGGTACCATCTCTTTTTCATTGAATACTCCAAAAGCCCTGGTGTCCAAGAAAGCTTGGGAGCTCTCCACGGTACTGTCATAGGATGTATGGGAAGTTGATTTTGTATTAGTCACAATTTCTTCCATGATGTTGCTTTTGTCCGAAAAAGTTGGCATGTTTTCTTGTCGAGGCACTTCATGTGAAAGTGAATTATCTAAAATAAACTCAGCTTCTTCTTTGCGCATCTGTTCAACTTCTTGGACCACTGCAAGTGCCTCAGCAATGACCCTGGCAGGGTCAAGGTCCTGTTTCTGTGTCTCAGGCTTCACTCTAAGGTCAACTGAACCAGTTTCATCAAGAACAGCATCTTCTACTAGGTGTCCAATCGTAGAAGACGAGTCAAAGCCGAACGCTGATGAATCGCCCATCTCACCAATGCTGTATTCGTTAGGGCTATCAATGCTGTCGATGCTAAAGAGGGCCATTGATGCAGGTGGAGCATTAGAAACAGTTTCTCTTTGATCAGGGATGTCTACTTTACAAGGTGTGGATCCAAAGACATCACCTTGGTTAAACATCTCTGTCTCCTCATTGGTGTCACTCAGAAACAGACTGTCATCTTGATCTGTTCTAACGTTGTCACCACATTCATCATAGTTTGAACTCTGAGTAACAAGATCATTCAAGTTTGAATCAGACAGCCTCTGCGGGATGGTCTCGCCATCTCCCAATGGTCCCCCACCAGTCACGTATTCTCCACATGCATCAAGTAAGTTCACATAACTACTAGAAATCTCTGGTAAAGTTACGAGCTTCCCTTCCATGCTGCTAACTGAAGCAGCATCAGGATCACCCGGGATGGCATCCTTAGGCATATCCTCCAACTGAGAGACATCTTCTGTAAAAGCTTCTGCAACGATGAAGACATCATCCTTCAACCCTCTTCCGCTGCGTGTGCTCCCTGACCTAGAGCGCTGGGACTGTCGACTGACGGTGCTACTCTTCAAGCTGTTGGCAAGCTCATGTTTCCCAGTTGCTTCTCTTTGCTGCTGGAGGTACGGGCTTGCATAGTTCCAGAGTTTTCCCCCGGTAGCATGCTCAAGCAGGAGGAAGATTGAGCTCTCTGTTTCAAAGTAGCGGTACAGTCGCACCATGTACGGACAGTAGGCAGGCACTCGAGTTATCATCTTGGTGTTGGGTACACAGCATTTGCTGAGGGACTGCGATAAAAAAGAGGAAGTACAAATTCATTGAACAAAACATTATGATTTATGCACGTCTAAGATTTGCAACAAAGCAGAGAGCTGACATACAACTATTTTATTTAATAGATTTCCCTGGTCTGTATGCTCTAATGATCCATATTTTCAGACTCTTGAATTTTATTTTTTCATGAAATACATGTTCATGTTTCAATAACTGATTTTGAAGGCTGTTTTACTTGCCTTCATTTCTGAACAAAGCGTTTTTATTGAAAAAGTCCCTCTATTCAGAATATCTTATTATTACATTAGAAGTACATGTACCTAAGTTGTCCTTCATGAGAGTCAGCAGGCTGTATGGTATGGGCAGTGGACAGCACAAGAAGTACATTTATTAAAGTTTGAATGAATAGGAAAGAAGTACAATAATCAAAATATATACTGCTGGAGATATTGCGAAAAAGACATCAATTGTTACAATTTGTTACAATTTCACAGAGCTAATTTCCCAAAATGAAGGTTTATCAACACATTTTGCATTATAAACAAAAAATAAGTCCTCCAAAAAGACTTACTTTGATGATGAAGGTCTGGTACGTTGACATATCAAGTACAAGTAGAACAGAATTGATGCATCCAAGGACCTTGTAGGATTTCAGCTCATCAATGTTTCCACGTAAATGTGCTGATGAGGGATCCACTTCCATTGCCATCTTTTCAGACTACGGGAAATGAACGGTAGAACGGACAAAACAAAATAAAAATTCATAGCATGAATTTTGGTGAACTTAATCCATTGTCTAATGGAAACAGGTGGTTCCTGTATTAGACCTATTGGGAATATAAGAATTCAGTAGTCAACACTTTAACTGCTAATCTCCTGTTATGAAATGTTATATGTACCTTATATTTTTATCCTACACTGTACACAAGGATTTTGATAAATAAGATCTACTTCAACAAAGAGGAGATGCCTGTGTTTGGCATTTACTAAAATGTATACATTGCTATCTGTATGTAAGATGCCTGGTCTGAGTAATAATTCTGCTTTCTTGTTTGTAATGTACAGCATAATTTTGAAGTTTCCTGGAGGTAAAACATTTTTAGTTGATAAAAGAAACATTAATTAATTTGAAAACAAATCTAATCAGTTCATTGGCTCTGCAGAAATCCATCAATCGGTTCTTGAGATAACGCGATCACAAGCTGTTTTTGCATACATAATGAGCACTGTGACCTTTGACCTTGTGACCCCCAAATCTATTCAATTCATCCTCTCTGCAAGATACATACATAACCAAAGTTTGGCAGGAATCCATCAATGGGTTCTTCAGATAACAAGAACGGGACGTACGTACATATGTACGGACGGACTGACAACCCGAAAACATAATAATTTTTGTGCATGTATGAAACTTTCATGGGTTTCAAGAGCGGTGGCGAATGCCACAAATTAACTGGTTCTTGATTTTGAATTTTCGCCTACAGCAAGATCCATACCACAGCAGCAGCATCCTTAAAAACTAGCTAGAATCTTATATCAAGAAAGTTACTGGTTTACAGTAGCTGGTTGTAGTACATAACCATGAATTGTACAATATTTACCTCCCATCTTCTTGCATTGGATGCTTCTACCGACAAGTATTTGTTGTAGATATCTTCAGCCTTCATGAGATATTGAGCTGTCTTTCGCCTTACAGCCTCTCTTCTTGTCTTGCTTTTGTCAGCTGAATTATAAATTTATAAAAAAAATTGTTTCAAAATTTGGCAACATAATCTAAAACAAATTATTTTTTCAAAGACTTTTCCATAGATTTTACTTTCAGTCCACAAACTTATCATTCCCTCACACATTTTTTACATGTTCAAGATTTAAATTAAATCTTTAAGGTGAAAGGAATAAAAAAGAAAATGATAAACAGAAAGACATATATGACGTATTACAAAATTTCAAATATTTATCTTTTTCAACTTTTGATCATGTTCTGTGAACATGCTTAATACAAAGCTAACTTACCGACAACTCCTTTCAGCAAGATGGCTACACCTGCTTTGTATGCATCAAAAGAAGCCTGATAGTTGCCAACACTCTCATTATCCAGGGCCATACTGATCTTACCAGCCGCCTGATACAGATAATCATCCTCACCGCTAACGTCCCACTTAGAGATGCTATCATCGGAAACATGCCTGATGTGGTCGCCCGTGGCAACGCTTCGACTGTCTGTGATACCGGTGGAATTAGCATCTTCATCAGCAGCCTGCTGAGCACGGAGTGAGTTCAGGTACGCCCTGGCCAAAGAGTTGTGGCTGTTGCGATTTGCAGTCATACCACCAGAGGTGGAAACAGAGCTAGAGGAAAGGGCAGAATCGGAGGAGGACGACTGGAGTGATGGAGGCACTGTGACCGTGATTCCGCTATCAGTTGAGTCATTAGTAACAACACTGCTTGCTGGGGTAGTAAGCGCATCCTGATGGTCTGATGCAAGTTCAGGAGAGTCTCGACTGAGTTCGGCACAGATGTCCATCGCTTGGAAGAGCCAGCTGTTAGAGTGGGGCAACGTTCCAGGCTCTGTGCTTCCTGGTTCTGGAAAAAAGTTCAAATCGATTTATATGAATGTATGTGTCATCCTGTAAAAAGAAAAGTTTATCTTTATATTATCAAACTTTTTCATTGATGAACACCAATACTTTTGAACAGGATTAGCTTCCTATTTTCGATTTTAAAGAGAAATTCCTTTGATACCACCACAAATCATAATGCTAACCAGTACTCATAAAATATACATACATCTAACTCAGCCTTCAAACTCTTACACAATACCCCAGTGACCAGAAACTGACTCCTAATGCCTGGATTACATTTGGCCTGCGATTAGTCTATGGAGCCCGTATCATGCTTGTATCCCCTTTTCCGTGCGGCCTCTGTGCGGTGGCAGGAGGCGGCCGTGAGATTTTCCCACCGATTCACGGGCTCCGCAGCCTTTACGATTTTGTTTCGCGAGAAGTTAAACAAATTTGAAAAAATCGTAAGCCCGTAGCCTGTATACATGTCGTAGGTGGCAGTGCACAATCCCCGCACGGGCATCGCCCGGAGGCTTCGCACTGATTGTGCAGCAAACGTACGATTTTTCGGTGAACATGGGGGCAAAGAAAATCGTACGGAGATTGTAGACTCATGGGGCGTTCGCACGGCAATTGCACAGCTATCGCAAGGTTGCTGTACGGTCAGCGCGCCTTCTCCGCGCATCCTTTGCACGGAAGCTGCACGGGCTTCGTATGATTTCCGTGCGGAGGCTGCGGAGACTGCACGGCTACTGCATGCAAATTGCACGATTTCCGTACTATCTCCGAGCAGCCTCTGTACGGATTTGCCCCGGCCTGCCCCCGAGGGCCAAATACAATAAATGGCTCGATGCTCGTAGATAATGTAAACACACACATCGTAGCCCGGAGTCTCCTACGATGTCTACGAAAAATCGTAGACTAATTTATCGTACGGCGCCCGGGGCAAATGTAATCCAGGCATAACGGACAATAATTTACAAGATCTTGGACATTACGGGTAATTGAGTTTTTCTTTGGTCTATTGTAGATCTGGTACATGTGTTGGTCTTGGAGCATTAAGAAATTGGAGACAGGCTCTGATCAATGCTGAACGTTTCTCACCTGAAGGTGAAAGCGGATCAAAGAATGTCAGTTCTTCTAGCTGTGGCAGTGGTGTACTGGGCATCGAGTCCTCGCTACATGTTGTTCTTTCATCCTCGCTGTCATCATATCCCTCTCCTCCTCCTCCTTCTGAGTCCTCCCCTCTCTGTTCCTCATCCTCTTGCTGCCGGTGTAGCCAAACCCCCCCTAGTTCAACCCCTTGTGCGGGAACGGATTGAGACAGAGATGCCCCTCCTTGATTCTCCTCACCTTCCCCCTCCATTCTAGGAATGGAAGCTGCCATGGCTCGACTACTAAGAGGTTGGTTGGGGAAGCTTCCATTATCAGATGTGGGGTTTAGAACTTGAGGTGTTAAGATTGGGTTATCGGATGAAACTTTTCTCCTTGTCACAGTCTCTCCTCCCTGAAATAAGCATGACACAGACAAAAGATGGCAATTATCATGTATCTTTATTTTGATTAATTATAAGAAGTTGTACAATGGAAATGCTGGAGTTCAGAAATGGATATCATTCCAAGTCGCTAGTGCTCTTTGGTGAGACATAAATCCTCAATTACCAAGTCACTCACATAGGACTTGAAGTAACATGTTCACTTGTTTATGTACAGAAATTATACTTATACTTGAAAATAAAAAGTCGATAAAAATAAATAATGTTTTGTTCTGTCCACAAATGATTACCCAAACTGTCCCTGCTGGTACCACAACTTTGGGGGTATTTGAGATAATCCCAAAAATACATGTGCTTGGAAAATGCAAGCCACGCCGAGCTACCAAGCCCCACGCACATAATACACACAGGCATGTACACATAGGGATCAATACAGTTCATCACAAGCACTCGCACAAATACATGCAGTATATTACACGACATGTTCGTTCACAGAGCTGGCACACAACAATCATAGTCTAGTCATAATAAATGCATTTCAAAATGAGAACACAGAAACGAAGAGATGGAAATAAGATATGTTTTATTATTTACACATCTGACAACAATTTTTTTTCTTCCATTAATGTTGTAATTCCATGACTTTCCATGATCCTTTTATCAAAACATAGATTTTCCATGACTTACAAGGCCTGGAAAAAAACCAAGCCAAATTTCATGACTTTCCAGGTTTTCCAGGGCCTGTACAAACCCTGTCATGAGATTGGTTAATTACTTACCTTGAAAAATTCAACAAAATGTGTTGACTTGGCAAGAGGAGGTACTTTAACAGTGAATTCCAAAAGTCTCAGTGCACTTTGCCTTCTTTCTTCAATTGTCTTTTCGTCAAACCTCCCTAAAATGAAATAAAAAATTCACGATAAACATAATATCAGATTTACCAGAACATATCTTGAACATAAACTAAAGAATTGCTATGGAAAGATATCCTAACACAATAACTTACTGTTCTTTAAATCATTGATTTGTACAATAAAATCTACTCTTGCTGCCACTTCTAAAGATCCCCTGCCTTCAAAGCCTGCATTTAGCTTCCTTCGATTCCTATAGTAAATGAATCTGTGAAACAAAGACCGGTGCCACTTCTAATGATCCCCTGCCTACAAAGCCTACATTTTGTTTCCTTTGATTCCTATAGTAAATGAATCCGCGAAACGGAGGCCACTTATTTATGAAGAGTACTTATCCTGTCTCTATTGAGCTTTTTTTTTATAGCTACAAGTATGGTTGTTACTGAACTAAATATAAGCTTTATGTTTGAAATAAACTAGAATAAGAACTATTCCCAAGTAAAGTCGTACTTACCAAAGAAGCGAGCCTTGGCAAAGTCTGGGAATTTTTCTGGTCTCCGTAGATGGTAGTGGAGAAGGGACAGAGCTTGGTGGAGTTTCTTAAAGTCATTATAACGCTTCCAAACAGCAACCTGAGAAAGAAAATATGTCACAGAAGCATGAGGCATTTATATTCTACTTTAATTCATCTTTTCGACTATACAGAGCATCAGGAAATGAAATGTGTCAGAACTATAAAAGAAAAATAAATTACATCGCAGGTCTGCAACAATATTTATCCTACAACACATATAAGAAACCATAACAGTGACTGAAAATGTAAATGAAAGTCGCTTTTTAATATCAATTTCATAAATAGTATATTAATTTCAAGTTTCATAAACTGTTTTTTATGTATTGTTAAAGTTCCAACTTCACACTTACCGGTATACATTTTTTTCAATTCATTTTATTCCATTTGTCATATAAAAACATACATAATTATAACATTGATATTTAAAGATAAGTAAAGAACATACAAACAACATAACGAAAGATGAACACAAAATACAATTATATATATATATATATATATATATATATACAAATGAGGAAACCTGCAAGAAAGAAGATTAAGTGTATGTGGTGCTGGTCCCTTACCTTACGACATAATAAATAATTTACCCTTATCTAACATTTTACACCTTACATCATGTTACTGTAACGAGTCAAACAATAAGGACACAGGATTCAAGAATCGCATTTGGTTCCATATTTATTGACAGGTTCAAATTAAACATCTATTTCTGTATAGATCTCTCAATATAGGTCCTGCAAAGGACACAATCAAATTCAACATGGAGTCTTACATGTACAAGAACCGATCCTTTCTCAGAGCCCACCAAAACATGTCTCTCTCTCTACCAACATGACCAAGGAGCTAACACTCCTTCCTTGCATTCTAACTCAAAAAGTATTCAAACAATGTTAGAATGTCCAAATAACAATGAAGCCTTACACTAGTTGCAGACCTACACCTGAATGGTATACACTATTCAATTCAACCACTGTACCTTGTGTATTAAAGCCATGACTTAAACAATGATAAACACTTCAATGAGCATGCATGGGCATGAATATATAAATCAAAGTACATTGACAGTGTATACAGAGAAGGTATGCATTAATCTGCTCCCTTCATAAACACCTGTAATCATATCACTGCATATACACAATTCTATACTTATCATTAGGCCTTGAGAATCATGACTCAAAAATGCTTTCATTTTAACAACAAAAATAAGCTTTAAAAAAAAGGGGGAAAAAAATTAAGACACCACAAAAAGTGTAACATAGACCCTATACAATTCCTTTGAAAATCTAAAATTAATTTCTGTTACTTAAACTGCAAAAATGTATAGGTTTACCTCAATGACTTCCTCTGCTTTGTCCAATCTAAATGCCTGTTGATAACGCAGGAAAAAGGATAATAAAAAAAAGTTGAGAATTTTATGGGATGATTTTTTTTTTTTTTTAAAGTTCTACTTCTAGATCTAGATGAAGATTTAGAAGAAGTTTTTTTAATTTGTTTAATTGTTTGAGCATCACATGTATTAATAGGACACAGTTTTTAATATTTCATTTTGACAATGGCCAACACCCAAGAATCCGCAACTCTCGATGAAACTTTACATCTCTTCCTGAAATCAATTTGGCATAATCCATTTCATTATAGATCTAGAGTCTAGACATAGATCTAGAAGTGGTCTACATTTATACAATTGTAAAAAATGGTGGGGTAAAAGAAAACAAAAAGGAGGAAGAGAAGGTGAAAGAGAAGGAGGAGGGGCAGGAGGGGCAGGAGGAGAGAAAGGAGGAGAGAAAGAAGGAGAGAAAGGAGGAGAGAAAGAAGGAGAGAAAGGAGGAGAGAAAGAAGGAGAGAAAGGAGGAGGAGGAGGAGGAGGAGGAGGAGGAGGAGGAGGAGGAGGAGGAGGAGGAGGAACTTAATTTAATTACTGAGAATTGTCAAGAACACATCAAGTTCAAGTTCAAGCATAAACAATAACAGGTTGAAAGTGCAACCAACAGATATACCTTCAAATCCAAGGGGCAAGTAAAAATGTCAAGCTCCAATTCAAAGAAACTAACGTAACAGAGTCAGAGTGAAGTATTTGTTTTTGTATCCAGATCCAGATTACAGCGCCGTATATGCATAGATCTAGACTACGTCAGTACGTGCATTAGCGCGGCGGAAGTCAACTCAGAAATGAAATGACATGAAACACGACGGATGGGACCGAGAAGAACAAATATTTTACTTTGCTGCGTTTTGTTATTGTCTGTTAACATAATCATGGATATATTTTCATGCACAGCTTTACAGATTTCAGTCCGTCTTTAATTCTTACCCTGTATGTGACTTTGTAAACAGTAAAACCTTTCTCATGCTTGGTAGGCTCGGTGACGTTGAAACTCCTGATCCAAGTCTCCTTTTTCGTGGAGGTAGCCATTTCACCTTATATAGGCTACTTTCTCACTGCACAAACGTTGGTGGACGTGGATACAGAACAGGCATCAAGGAGGAGGCATCACGCGGCATCCCTTCAATTCGCAACACCTAAATGAATAATTAGAATAATTTCATTTTGCGGGGCATATTATTTTTTCGATTAAGTTGTGCAAAGTCGTGCACCCATTTCTCTTTCTCGTAACATTTCTCTTTCTCTTTCTCTAAAGATTTTCAAGGAAAGGTCTCCGACGTCTATATAACTAAGGAAATGCTTTTTCAGCAGTGGTGTCCGACTGAAACAGGTCCGAGGGTGGAAGATCTTGATGTGAGATTTGCAGTCGTAAGATGAAAACAAAATGATATATATACCGACATAGAATTTAAAAAAAAGGATAAATAGAAATGCATTTGAAATGAGAATCAAAATTGGTGAAACAGACTGTAAGGTCGTTGGGAACAAAACTTTCACTCTCTCTCTTTCTTGATCTATCCCTCTCTCATGACTTCCAAGTTGTTATCCTAAATATCATTTTCCTGTCATGTTCCATGTCTGTAGGCGAAATTCTAGTTGTATTAGCTTATATCTCCTTTTGTTTTCTTCGATTGGTGTTCTCTATGACTCATCTTGTAGCTCTTTTAGTCTGACTATTATAGGTCTCACATTTTATTTTATTTATAGTACCCCTGATATTACTATCATTATTATTTTTTTGTTCACTATATATACGGTCACTCATTGTTATTATTATCCTTATTATTATTGATATGATGTAAATGAAGTGAAAAACAACATGTTTTTACACTTAATGAAAACTAATTTCATGTTAATAAGTATAGTAGCAGGAAAGGAAACTGAAAATCGCTGGAGAGGAAATTAAAGAGGTCGATGATGTCACTTTTGTTGGGGTTCGCATTGATAGACATTTGTCTTGGAATAGTTATTCATATTTTTGGGGGGTAAATCAGTGTATTAGAAAGTTGGACTTGATGCTATTTAGATTGCGACATTTGCGTTCTCGATCTGATACGATTAAATAAAACATCATTATCTTCATCATCGTCGTCATCTTCATCATCATCATCATCATCATCATCATCATCATCATCATCATCATCAAATCATCATCATTTAACCCATTGCTTACTGGAACCTGGTGGTCCATGTGTAAAGCCTATGGGAATAAGATAATTTAGTATTCAACGGGTAAATAGGCGTATGAATAAGCATTGATCTAACATGATGCAGGAGATGCATCATATCCACCTTCTACAGTAGAAAACGAAATGCTGCTAAAACTGCGGCTGCTACGTTTCTGTGTGCATGTTATCAGGATCAGGACAGGGTTAATAATTGATGGGATACTCTTCCATCACAAATTTTGTTCATCATCATCCAAAGCCGAGTCTTTTTTAATCCAAAATGTCTTGTGTAGGTTTCCTAGAGCCGATTATTGGAAGAATAGGAGGAAATGAGCCGGCTTTCCTGGACATGATGGCGTATTTTATGATGTTCTGCGGGTTTCTTGCAGGAGCGGTATTGTCAGCGGGTATACGCACACCTTACGGCCGATACACCAGTCCAAAGTTCGGCTGGGGATTGGAGAGCCGCACCGCCTGGTTCATTCAAGAGCTACCCTCGTTCGCTGTTCCAGTTCTCTTGATTCTGTTTTGTAACAACCAGTACAGCTCGACTCTACCAAATACTATTCTTGTTGGCTATTATTTAGTGCATTATTTCCAAAGGTACTAACTATATGATGAGTATAGACTATGATCTAAAATACAAAGTTTTGGTATGGTATATGGATTAGTATATGGCCTTATGGGGTCAAAATTTGGTTCAAGTGCACATATTGGAAGCATATGCGATTTTACAATATTCAATGATCGTTGCCGTGGTAATTGAAATTGAGTCTAAAGTAATGATATTGTAAATAATAAACTCTTTATGTTGTATAGCTCCCTCTCAAGACATATTACTTTAGCTTTAAAACAATGTTTCTCGCCTACAATCGATTAATTTGCTATTCCCGTTGGAAATTATATATCTGGGCCGGTATTCAATTCAATACTTAGCACAAGTAAGAAATTTACTAAGTAAATGGCTAAGTTAAGTAATTTACTTATCTCGTATTCAAATCACATTTTAGACTTATACTTACGTAAGACTTACGTAAAATACTGATAAGCATTGCGATGTCACACAGTCAATCAAAAGTAACGCGCGATTGATGTAAAATTGATGCATTGCAATAAATGCGAGCTGACATAATTGTGCGCAGATTATAATACTGCATAAGAAAACCATATGCCTGCCAATCAAGGCCTCCAAATAATTGGCTTAAGTCTGGTATGGAGTTGGCTTAGATTTAGGGTAAAATACTTAGCCAAAAGTGTGAATTGAATACCAAAATTGGCTAAGTATTTTATCTAAGCCAAATAATAAGTAAAAAGCTTAAATTTTGTACCGGTACTTATACGGGCCCAGAACTGCATATTCTGAGATTTTCATGATTGCAGCTACCATGGAAGAAATGACCTTGGCGTAGGCGGTATTTGAAATGTTTGAAATTTACCGGGAGCACCAGTAAATTTTGATTATTCAATTTCTCGAAAGCAGAAGTGTTTTAGGGGGCTGAACTTTCTATTGCTTATGTTACATCCACATGGACGTCAAAATATATCAAAATTGTAAAGAATTACTATCCATCCAATTTTCAAAATTTCCCAAAACTTTGCATTACCTTTAACGTCCCTTCTTTGTCTCCTAATCTTCTTTTCTTTCCAATTATCTAATGAATAGGACTTTTCTATTTTCCCTGCTAATACGTGGAGGGAAAGTGACACCGCTCGTCCCGTTTGTGCTAGCCACCATCTTTTGCTGTTATAATGGTTTCATGCAGGGTCGATATCTTACGCAGTATGCTGTGTACAGCCAAGACTGGATGAAGGACCCACGATTCATCTTAGGTAAGGATTCTCTGCAAGCCAGCTATATAAGTGTAAATGTCCAGCTACCGGTAGTCATTTAGAAATCACAACATAGAATTAAAAAATAAAAGCTATTCGGTGAGGCTAAGATATTTATCGATGTAAGTAAGCTACTTGATGTTACAGTTTTATGGAAAGACTCTAAATCTAATTCTTGTGGATTAATAAAAGCCATGACATATATAATACAGTTATTTAAAATGCTCTGAATACATAATTTTATAGCACATTTTGGGAGTAAATGATCATAGAACTGAATATATCTTGAAAATAACCAATTTATCTATTTTATGGACTACATCGGACAAGTGAAGTCTATCTGCAATGTGTTCAAAAGTTTCATTAGATGGGAATTTTTTTCTTCTAACATGTTAAGTCTGCAAGAGAGATGAGGAATATAATGATGCATTCTTCATTCCAAAAAGGATCCCCCCCCCCTTTCTTCTAGGGATGTGGTTTTTAGACACGAGTTGTCTTTGGTTATGTATTGGCACAGATCAATCATATAGGTTATAAATTTTGTTCTTCTTTTTCCCTCTAGGATCACTTTTGTTCATGACTGGGATGGCAATCAACATTCATTCTGACTACATTCTGAGGAATCTACGAAAACCTGGAGAGACGGGATACAAAATACCATGTGGTAATGCTAATCTCTCCTCACACCCCCCCCCCCCAATTTCCATCACACTAAGGAAGTCAAAGAAAGAAAAAAATATATATCCAGTATAAAACATCAATTATAAATTGCAAGCTTCAGCGCATTCATGTTGGTATATGTTACCTACACTTCATTGTGTGTGTATAACGTTTGATATTAGCATTCTAAGACTATTCTTGATGTTGAATTTAAGAAAAACGAGGGATGCATCATGTAAAAAGAAAGGACTTTCATGTTATAGTAAATTCACAGAAACTGTTTAGTCTTAATACATTATATTTCAGATTGTGATGCATATTACATAATGGGAAAATGTTAGTACATTACATTTAAAATATTGAAGAGCTGTATTGTTGCCTAGCAACCAGATAGTGACTGACTCGTGGTAACACATGGCATATGAAGTTGCAGTAATGTTAACATGTTACAGCAGTGTTCTTTTTCTTCCATTATTGTGTCCATTAATATCAATTGCAAAGCAGGAGCATGTGGTTCTACTGACGTATATATGTATTGTGAACAATGTAGTCTATCTCTGTCTTTATGCTCTTTTCCTAGGTGGCATGTTTGACTATGTCTCTGGAGCCAACTTCTTTGGTGAGATAGTTGAATGGATCGGGTTTAGTATAGCCTGCTGGTCTCTACAGGGTCTTGCATTTGCATTCTTCACTTTCTGTGTAGTCTCACCAAGAGCGTGGCAACATCATCTGTAAGTTAATTTATTTACTACTAAATTCTCTACTTCCCATAGGTGTGATACAGGGAGCATCCAGTTTTGGTGGGCAACGGGGTAATGGTCGAGTGATTTTTTTTTCATGAGAATTAAATCTTGAAGAAATGGAGTAATGTATCATTCTGTATAGCGTTGTGATTGCATGTTTATTTATTTTCCTTATTTCCTTCTTTTTTAAGATGATTTATTGTGTTGTAATTACTATGTATATCTCCATTGACCCCATCAAAGTCCTCATTCTCTTAAGGAATCCTTCCATTTAATGAATAAATGTTAACTTTGATTTTACATTCAATTGATATCAGAAGCTAATAAATGTGCCTTGAATCTTGATCTTTTATCTGAAATATGATTTTCCTATGTTGTTATATGCTTGTCTTTTCTGTAGGTATTATCTAGAGAAGTTTGAGGACTATCCCAAGTCCAGGAAAGCAGTCATACCATTCATCCTCTGAAGAAGTCTGGTCTGAAGACTACATCAAGTTTTCCACGTCAGCTGCAATTCATAATGAATATATTCTGCGTTCAGAGAAAATATAGTTACAATCAATGAGAATCATTAATATGCAGTAGATGGGTTGTATGGACCATCAGAACATGAACAACCAAACAAAAACATCCTGGATATTGATATTGGTGAAAAGTAGGACACAGTAATGACATAGCAGTTATATGTAGGATAAGGGTCCAATTTGTAAGGAAATATTTAGCAGCGACGCAGCCAGCCAGCAAAAATAGGGGGGTGGGGGGGGGGGGCAGGGCTCAAATTAATTTTTTGTCCACGGGGCTTTTATTCGGAGCAACCTTATTTACATTCTTTATTTACTTTTAGTCTTTACCATATCCTTCCAAAACACGGGCAGATCTAGCTTTCTGCTAAGGGTGGGGGAGGGGGGGGGGGTAACCCAAATATTTTGAACCCTCGTAAGTGATGTTTTCCTGGCATCTACTAACATGCGGAGCATCGTCCACGAGCCGAAAATGGGGGGAGGCGATTTTTTTTTTTTTTTAGTGCTTTTTTGAACCCCCCCTAGTGATGTTTTCCTGGCATTTACTGACATCTACTAATACTGTGTAGGTCTGGACACATGGTAGCATTTTTCTATGCACATCACATTTTCACTTGGCAGCCCAAGGGGGCCGGGGGGGGGGGGGGGGGGGGGGGGTAAACCGCCTAGATCCACCCCTGCAAAACATCTTTGGTCTTCTTCTTCTTCTCAATATTGATTCACTGGTCGAGTTACATTATTTGCTGGTCTCTTAGAATCACCAGATTTCAGAGGATTCACACTTTTCACAACGAAAAACTTCTCCATGTTTCAGTCCTTGCGCGATCGTCTCAAGCTCCAGCAGATATTGGGCTTCAGCGTGCACACAGGTACTACCGGCATAGTATAGCATCTGCTGACGGCCGCACTAGCTGCACTGCGAGCTTACATTGTGTGTATCGGTAATACTCATAAAGATTGGAGAGGAAGCGCCATCTAAGTTCCATTTCATTGGTTTAAGGTTTGAAAATTTAAACTCAATATTGTGTTAAAGTTATATCAGAAAAGATAATCTTTATTTTATAATTCCACGGGGCGATTTTTCATTTTGCAATCGCCCCCGTGAGCAACCTGACGGGGTCGAATAGGGAGCTCATCGCCCATCGCCATTGTGTAAAAGGCATTGTGGATCCGCGCCTGTGTCTTCTACCTAAATCAGAACCATTGAAAGAGATCTTGCAATATGGTAATACGTTTCATGATTGTGCATGCAACCAAAGAAGTATCAAGATCAGCCATTCCAATCTTTTTAAATGATGATTATTTATACTTCTGGTACTTTAGTTACATTGATGCAGTCAAGACCTGGGGTCCCATACTACAGTGTATGGTCAAAAGACAGAGACTAATTGGAAACTTTAACCCATTTCCTATGGGAACCGGGTAGTCTCTGTGTTGAGCCTATAGCAATCAGAGAATACAGCAGTCAATGACTTTATTAGTAAATCTCTTGGTGAAGTATGAGAGTGAGACATTGAAACCCTGAGACTAGTCTCAACTACTCTGCAGGCACAGACTCTATTTGCCAGAGATACACAATTCCTTAAAAGCTGTGACTCATTACACTGAAGGTTTATCTGATAGGTGATGTAACTTGAAAATAATTTGTTAGCATGCTCCAAGCTCCTTCAGACCTATGTCGTAGCTGGCGCTGTTGCTGATGCAGTATGGTGATATGGTAGAATGGAATCACATGTTGAAAAAAAGAGTATGTTGTTCTAATTCACAGAGAGTAAAGGGGGCTACCGGTATGCAATGCAGTGTACAGTCTTGCAGTTCAGACCCTGTGTTGTTAGCTATGGCAGACCAACTTGTGCCCCTAACCTAGGTCTTGACTACATCATTCTTGACTGTGTAAAATATATGTTTGGTAATGTGGTGCCAAAGAATATCCATTTCCATGTACTGATATTGTATGAGATAGAGAACTGTACTTTTTAGCTAGTTTGCAGAGTCCTGATAATGATGTTCTTCAGTAGATTTGATTGACATATCTTTAAAATAATTATTTAGCATCAACAAAAAGTCAACTAAATCATGTGATATCATATTCTTTGCTACTGGGACAAGGATATGAGATAAATTATTATTAAACAGAAATGTCAGGTTTACTATAAGAATGATCAGGGCAATACTTTTTTAAAAAGATTTTTATATAGTGGTTCATTATGAGATTATCAATTGAAAGGAAATTTGGCTGGGGGGGGGGGGGGGGTTACAGGTTAAAATTTTTCATCAGATAAGTGAGTAATTGTATGATCAAACAATTGTGGGATGGCCTAGCATTACCATTGTGGTATTGAAATAAGATTTTCTCATTATAAGCAGAGGAGGCATTGTTGCCTTTCATTTTCCAGTGGTACATGTCACCCAATTTTGACTAGACTTCATAATGATTCGCTCAATCAATTAAGGCACCTGCTGTAATGTAAAGAAAAATATTTTATGTTAGTCAGTGATAAGTTTTGATATTATATTTCATACTGGTAATTTCTCAGAATTTCATCGTTGAAAATCATGTGGAGCATTTCAAATATGGGCTCAGTTTCCATTGCTGAATGTAATGTGTTTCAAAATCACTGTTATTCCATTCAGCATTATAAAAGCTTATCAATATCCCCCCCCCCTTTTTTCCCCCATCTCTCTCTTTCTCTCTCCGTGTCAGCCTATCATGATAAATTTACCTGCCACATATAGGAATAGAGTTATGAGTGATTATTAATATAATGATGCATCATGTTTGGTCGTTGAAGAGAAGTGACCACATTTGATTTATTATTCCATATCGTATATTTTGCTTGGGGGTATTAGTTCAATCAAGAATCTTAAGCGATGCTTGGTTGACAATTTGGAGGATGCACTTTTTGCAATGATAAATTAGTTTTTGAAATATTGTACAAAGATTTTCATTTTCAACTTGGGAATGTGAAATTGATCTGTGTGATGCTTTCGAACGGCGATATTCTATATACCAAACCTAGATGTTTAAAAAAAAAAAAAATCAGTATTTGTGATGTTTCAGCTGTTTTATACATGAATTGAAAACTGAATGGTGTGATTTAATTCGGACTATTTGCAATGAGTTATTTTGATTTGTGAGTGTGATTGTGAATAAAAATGTGATTTAAGAAATTATAATTGGAGTTGTTTGTTTTGTCCTCATCCTTTATTGTTGTATGATATCAAGGCATATTATACATTTCAGAGCGTCTTTCTTCAAAACATGAAGAATGATAATATTGAAGATTTTTTTTTTTAAAGAGAGCTTGCCTCAAACACCAAGAGCAACGGGTGTTTACATCTATCTACAGTACAATGCTTTGCTCTTAAATGTTGAGAAAATCATCTAAAGTGACCTATCTTGAGTCTTATCCAGGTGGGAATGTCGTCTTCACAAGGTTAATTCTCCCACCCACCCCACCCCCTCTCTCACTCACTCTCACTCTCTCTCTCACTCTCTCACTCTCACTCTCTCTCTCTCTCTCTCTCTCTCTCTCTCTCTCTCTCTTCCTGTTATGCAATGGGGGGGGGTACGCTCCTGGCTACGTCAATGTACGTGTAGCTAGACTGTATTCTAAACATATATGACGCAAGCCATTCTCGACCACATCGATTTTAAGTACATGAACATATCAAATTATACCCGCACATTTTCTTTTAACTATTAAACGTCCATCCGTCTTCCTGTGGCATGCGAGCAACGCAGTCATCTCAAAAGCTCTCAGAAAAGAAAGAAAAAAGGCTTGAAATCGATCAAAGTCTGACTGGGTTTGGTGTTGGAAATTTTGATTTCAATTTCAGCATCAATCATCTATCATCCACAGACGAAAATTGTCAGTGACGACAAATAAGCTGAAATATTCTGATAGATATAATAATTTTTGCGATTTTCCCAACAACGATCTTTGCAGACAGAAACTAGTAACAGTAACTAGCGCTGATGCATATCAGGTCACCATTTACTCTTGGGTGGAGAGTGGCAAATGTATATTAATGTCCTAAAACACAAATCCTCCATAAATTACCCAAATCTAAAGCTGTTCGTGTTCACCAACTGTAATCTACTTTTCACTCAAGCAAACAAGTCACCGCTTTCGTGATGGTACATGATTAGTTTTTTGTATTAATAAAAACATACAAACATTGTTACAGAATGTAATAAGGGTGACGAGAACTTGTCTTTAAAGATAAAAGAGGACTGGATGTAGTGCATGAGGTCAACAACAAAGCTAAGTCTGGACAAAGGTTTCTACGTTAATTTGTAGCTTAAATGATTGGAGTAAATATTTTTTATATTTTTTATATTTATGTTTTATTAAATATTCAAAATCACATTTTTACAAACAATCATAGGAGTAATTACGTTTATACCATAAGATAATACAATGAAAAGCTAATGTCATAACTCAACCGCGTGGGGGGGGGGGGGGGGGGTTGGAGTAAATCTTGCTTCATTGTACTCCATACCATCCCATTCCGTGAAAACTGAGGAATAATGACACAAAATAATGACACAAAATAAAGTATCATAAAATCAAATCATATTTCATAGCAATAATACAGTCTCTTGGAGAAACTCATAAATGTACGTTGTGTTATGCTTTATAACCTATCAAAATAACATCAGTTACTAGTGTAGTTCATCTGCATTATGGCTTTACACAAATTACAAACTCTCAACTAGACTTTACTACAGCTTGAATAAACAACGAACTAGACAATATTAAATTCAAAATCTCTACTTAGTGCTTCAGCACTCTCATATTAACCTTCATAGTATTTAGCAGTATCTTCACTTTTATTCATGTTCTTAATACAAGGTCAAATGTACATACATCAACAACATAGGCTTGTATTTCTTTCATAAATGATGATGTACATTACCCACTAATAACATCAACATCTCTCAGTATACCGAGAGATATGAAGTCCATAACACTCACACTAATTTACACTTTATGTTTTGACAATTCATAAAAATACATTAAATATACAAGAAAACTAACCTCTTTGCCTGCCCATATGACAATAATATGGCTCAAATCCCCCTGATGCGCTGGCAAAAAGGGGATCCTTGATCCTCACAACACAACCAAATTCATGCTGACTTAAGGGTGTGTATCAAGTGCACAGCAATAGATGGTGCTATGCAAGACACATTGCCTGAGGAAGTGCTATTACATAATATGCATGTAGTCATGTCATGCATCAATGGAACAGTAAACAAATTACTTGAGTGATAAAGCAATTTCAAGTGCAATGTCACAACAAGAACCAATCAACCCCCACCCCCCCCCCCCCGAACAACAACAAAAGAAAAAAAAGAAAAAGAACATTGCTATTTTTCACAGTTTCCGTTCGAAGTTCAACAAATCAATTAAAAAACATGAAGCCCTCTATTAGTCATTCAAATGAAATATTCATTGAGACAATTACAATTGAATATAAAACGCAGAAATATTACCAAAAAAATGTATAGACATTTGTTTAGAAGGGATTCAAAATACACATATTTACAAACTGTGATGTTTTGTGTAGACAAAGAATTTAAAAAAAATTGATTCTAATTTTAGGGATAAATATATGTTCCAGTGCTAAAATTACAGGACGCAATTCTATTTCATATGCCTTTAACTTGCCTTATTCTATGTATGATACGATTATTAACGCGAAGCCAATGAAGATCAGTGATGTGAGGGGAGACATGGACAAATTTTGGTTTACAATGAATGAGCTGTCCTGATTTATTTTGGAGGAGTTAAAGGGAGTTAAGATCTTAAAAGGTGGGCTGACATTCAAAGTTGGTCCTTTTGATGCACAGTGCTGCATAGAACTCATATTTTGTTATTCAAACATCAAAATATTTGTTTCTTAGAAATGTTTAAATATTGTAAAGAATAACTTTCTCAGACCTGCTGAGCTCCACCCTGAAAAATCCTCCAGATCTCATTCATCTTGTGACATCATCTGTCCAGGGGGTAATTGTCCTAGAACCCTTCCTTATTCTACTGAGGTTATGTTAGTAGAGATTAACAGATTTGGATACAAATTATTGAAAGCATGATTTGACATATGTATATGCTTGTCAAACTCAAAGGCAACACCTACCCGACAGGCGTTTTCCTGTCACCTTCCTAGAACGAGAACACGCTTTGCTCAAATACCTTTATATATTCAGGTCACACGTTCTGGACTTCTCTCGATTCTGTGATTAAAAGGTCTGTAAGTGTTCATGTTTTCAAAAGAAATTGAAATGTCATTACTTGAATACATAATCATTTCTGATTCCTGACTATTTTTTTCTCCAAGCAGTATATTTTTGTTGATTAGAATGAGTAAATAACGGTATGGCCATGCCAACTATGTATATATTCTACTCATATTGAGAACAAACTACATTGTAATAATTATTGTTTTAATAAGCCGCAGATATATTCCCTTCCATTTTCCTTGTCTTTTGGAGTTAATTATGAGTATCGGTTCATGTATCCCTGTAATCTCTCTGTTTTAGCGTGTATTTGTATTTTATAAACTTTAATTAATCTAGTTTAAGGAGCATATCCACACCAAGCTCTGCTTTTCCATAGGCTCCGCCACTATATCTCTTAAGTTCAACTGAAAGACAATTTTCTGAATAGTGTTTACAGGGATTGTACATGTATGTACATGTATATTATAATCATTTTCGATATGTTATTACTCCTTGTAAAATGAGATATTGTGGAAACCGATAAACGCTCTATCCATCTGCGAACAGATAGTATAGGTGAAATGACACTTAAACCACTTGTCATGCACTGAGCATATTGCATTTTTTTGTCATGAAGTGGTATGTTTATCGAGTTCCGATCGCAAACAAACTACTTACATACTTTCCAAGTTGAAGTATCTTAGGGCATATGGCGTGATTTTCAATTCAGTTACAAAAACACGGAAACCTTTAAAGAATGTACCGATGAACTTTTGTTTTACTAATGTAAAAGTTTAAATATGTTTTTTGAGGATATAAGACCGAAGCAGAAAGTCTAAAATGTGTACAAACTTCATACTATTTATGAAGTGTGATTCACACACCTTCCAAGTAAAAGCTATGACACAATGGTCTTTTTAATCAAAACATGACATTCCATGCACAGCCCATTAAAACATTGTCGATATTTTGAACCACCGTTTAGGCGTTTACACTTTCAAGTTTTGGTGAGTATTTTCAGTTCTGTGTCCGTTGCTGTGGCTTATTGATCGCGAGCAGAGTCACATATGCACCCCTCTTCCCAACATTATCGACCAAACCTTAAACGAAATACCTATCCGGGTTGATTTTTCGTAGTTCCTTACCGGCTATACGTGTAATACCAGATGTGTTTGTGAAGTGAAGTGACGATGCAAACAATGATCTTGGTGAGATTACTCGGAAATATAATTTCAGAATTTGGGGCTAAAATAACATTGTTCCGGGATCGTTATCATTTCCACCCATAACTTACATTCCGGATGTATAACTAGTTTTTTTCTTCTTCTTCAATATTATAGTCATTAATGTAGAAGAAGATTTCTTTTTTTGTTGTTTTTTTGTGTTGGGGGGGGGGGGGGGTTGGGTGGGGGTGTTTGCTGGAAATCCGATGATGAGCATGGCAATTCATTTGTACTCTAGGGAGAGGAATGAGAATCATTTGTATTTGCAGTTTGCGCCCGTTATTTACGATTGTCATTGGCTGAACAAACATCATCTTAATAAGTACTGATAACTTTGATCATGCAGAAATTTTTTTTTTTTAATTAAAAAAAAACCGGTTCATGTTTAGGCTCAAATTTTTTCATTTTTTTTAAAGAAAAAAAAGCCTCGTTTTCAGCTTTCTTAGACGTGAGCAAGACTCTAAAAAGAAGTTAGCTGGAATATGTCAACATAGGCTATGATAATATCTTGAAAGGATTTCCCGAGGAAAACAAAATAATCTCGTGGGTATGACGTATTGTGGATTGGCATCCGACAGTAGCTAATTATGTGGGGAGGGAGATATCGGGGGAGATATACGAAGTTGCATATGTACGGAAGCGTTAAAGTGCCATTCTACTTGACGACATGACGAGATATTTCATCTTGTCAAGTCGACTTAATATCCATATCATGTCGACATGTAAAGATATTTAACCTACCATGTCGACTTATCAACTTTTATTAGTCGACATGGCGAAATAAATTATCTTGCCAAGTCGACTTCACAAAAATTTCATGTCGTCATGGCGACATAAGTTATCTTACCAAGTCGACTTCTAAAAAAATACATGTCGTCATGGCGACATATATTATCTTACCAAGTCGACTACCCAAAAAGTAATGTCGACATGGCGAAATAAATTATCTTGCCAAGTCGACTTCACAAAAAAGTTCATCTCGTATTAGCGACATAAATTATCTCACCAAGTCGACTTCCCAAAAAGTATATGTTGTCATGGCGAGATATGTAGTGTGACGAAGACCAAATACATGATTGCACTTAACTGTGATTCTTAAAACTGACTCCACGTGATCATTTATGTCGCCAAGACGACATCTACTGTTATTAAGTCGACTCGGTAACATATTTTATCTCGCCATGACAGCATGTACTTCTTACGAAGTCGACTTGGCAAGATATTTTTATTTCGCCATGACGACATATACTTCTTGGGAAGTCGACTTGGTAAGATAATTCATGTCATCATGACGACATACTTTCTGAGAAGTCGACTTGGCAAGATAATTTATTTCGCTATGACGACAGATACTTTTTGGGAAGTCGACTTGGTAAGATAATTTATGTCGCCATGACGACATGAACTTTATGCGAAGTCAACTTGGCAAGATAACTTATGTCGCCATGACGACATGAACTTTTTGTGAAGTCGACTTGGCAACATAATTTATTTCGCCATGTCGACTAATAAAAGTTGATAAGTCAACATGGTAAGTTAAATATTTGTACATGTCGACATGATATGAATATTAAGTCAACTTGACAAGATGGAATATCTCGTCATGTCGTCAAGTAGAATGGCACTTTAACGCTTCCGTAGACCACTATCTTAACGCCACAATGCCAGACTGGTACAAAGCAGGGATAAATAAAACTGAAGGGAATCATGTTGCACGGTTTCGTTCCATAGATCATGTTGATTGTTTACTAATTGGTCGCTTGAAAGCGGCTGAAGTTCATGATTGTTTCGTGCCAGATAATCAGCAACTGCTTTCATGATTGTCACTCGGATGATTTGTGCTGCTGGGCTGCCATTAAGCCTTTTCGACGTGTATAATACAAGCCACTTATAGTGTCAGTATTCCAGTATTGTTGCCTCGTCAGGGAGTGGTAACTTGATCTGCGTTATTGGATATCATCCAACTTTGATGTGCATTCGTGCTGTCATCGAAACCGTGCGCTGAACTCTATCCTTTCCTCTCTGCCCTCACAACGACTTTGTTTCTCCGTCAGTTAATACCATTGCGTATTGTTATTGTACTGCCGGTAGGTTGGTATCAGCATTACGTTTGTAGCTCCTTGATCTGCAACTTTCAACTAGGCTTACACAGATCATGTCTAGCTGATGCTAATTTGATTTAACAACACTGAAATTGGAACGAGTTGCTTAAAAAGTAGAAATAAATTGAACACTCTTGACAACTACGGAAACACTTCAAGAATGGGACTCGGGGAGAAGAAACGAGTAGATGCCGAAGACCAGGAACATAGTGAAGGAAAAGGAAAGAAATACGGCAAGTCCCGTTCCCATGATCCCACCTTCAATGGACCAATCGAGAACCGTAGCTGTACGGATGTCATCTGCTGTCTTATCTTCCTTGCCTTCCTCGGGGGTCAGGGTTACATTGCCTACATGGCCTTCACGACGGGTGACCCCAGCACCATCATCTACCCTACCGACTCTCAGGGTGACATCTGCGGTGTTGCTGCAGGAAAGACTAACCTGACTAGCCTGTTCTTCTTCGACTGGCTGGCCTGCTTCTCCTACTCTACGCTCATCACCTTCCAGTGTTCCACCCCTCAGGTGTGCGTCGAAAACTGTCCCACTGAGACCTACTCCATCTGGACCAAGTACATTTTGGAATTGGACTCATCTAAACCCGTCGGGGTCGATTGGAGTCACTTCGTCTGCCAATACGGGGTGGACCCGGAGAATGAGGTTATGAATAACGGTCGTACCATTCGGGATCTTCTTAACGAGGAGCTGTGTGCATCGTACTACGTGCAAAGCGAACCCTTGTTCGGAAGATGTTTGCCAGACTTCCTTGTGGCAAATGTGACAGGTAATTCACCTCTTGACTCTTGACTGTAGACACATAAAATATAAAATTAATATTATTTTATATTAACCCAGTTCATTTATTGTTTATATAAAGTTTCATTGTACATCACTCATCTATTTTTGTCCATTGGTTGTCTGCCAATCCACTATGCATTGTCATAACCGGTAGCCCTTCCGTTGTCATCATAACTAACTTCTGATCAGTATGCTTATCTCTTCGATTTTGCAATTCCCCAAACTTTCTATTTATTGTAATTATTTTTATATATACAAATCTGTCTTAAAATTTCAATAGTTACTCCTTTCTCCACTCTGCCACCCTATAGCAAAGAACATAAAATACAATTCTTTACACTGAAATGATTGGAATGCAAAATACAGAACCATTTTTGTGTGTGTCTATGATTGTTTAGTAAAAGCATCACAATGACAAGTATCACTGTCTTTATCGTGTTAACAACATACACTGTGGATTCGAATCAAATATATAATTTTGTTGAGGTATCATTGCAGTCCTTTAAAAAGTGTGAACTTTCTTGCACGATTTTTCACTGCGAATAATCAAAAACATCTACAAAAAAAACACAACCCCAAAACAGTCGAAAATAATGATAAGTTGTTAATGGTTACATTATTGGAATATTCAATGTAAAAATATTGAGGTTAAAAAGCAAAAAAACAAAATAATAATTACTTGTAATATAATGTTTATCATTTTGGTTTATATCTCCATATAATAGGGCTATCAGGAATCAAGTGACAAAATAGCCATATTATAATGAGGATAATGCATCCATTGATCATAAAACTATAAAACACCAATGAAAATGCCCATGTTGCATGCATTATACATAGTGCATGAATTCACAACATCCTGCTTTCAACGATACACGGACTTCATAATCATATATATATTTTTTATGTTTTTGTAAAACTCTTATCTCTTCGGAAGTTTAGATAAGATCTGAGGGATCAGCTGTTTATTGGCAATGGATACGGTTTCATGTAGAATAGACAAAGCAATATTTTATTTTAATTCCTAAATCATCTCGAGTGTAGTAGCCAAGTTTTGCTTCGCCGCAATTATCTGCAGCGATGACTGAGCGAATACAACAAAGGTTGTATAGTACCCAATTCCATTCCAGTGGAAAAAGAGACAGATTAAAAATAAAGAATAAAGGTTAATACAAAATGAAATGTAGGTTCGCGTCAAAATTATTCACAATGAAAAAGTATCGGTCATTAAAGAAAAAGGTTTGCAAGCCATTTAATCATTTACTTTGACAATTCTATTCATACAGACTTTTCTTTCTCTGACAACCCTACCTAAAAGGATATAGTGCTAATATAATTGGAATTTGCGAGGCTTTTACGATTTTTGTTTATCATTACCAAATTTATTGGAAACGATCTCATGGCGAAATATTGTGCTGTGATCAAAGTACGGTGTCAGGAGTCTTCTATTACGTAATCGTTTATGAGCATTGGCTCAAAATTGTAAACACTAAGTCATAAAACTAAAAGGATCTCCTAACATTATTGATTTCCTCATAGAGCCAGCATGTAAAGAACCAAGAGAACCAAGTTCTTATTTTTTTTAAAGATGCAATATAGCAATGTATTTCCTCCAATCGACGAGTGTACTTTATTTCAACGAAAACCTACGAAATTGATATACATGTAATTATCTTACCCAAACATATGCATGATTGTTCGCAGTAATTAAATCTTAGTTTTTACTTTTTCCCGCAAGAAAATAATTCCGTACTTTTTTCTGAATCAAAGAACACTGTACCAGGGATGATAAGGTATAAACATGAAAAGAATTTATTGATAACGCGTTGAACCGGGATTCTGTGAATCAGAAAATCTCTCTTTTCTTTCTTTTTCACAGAGTTACCCTACATAGACTATTTTGTACGCAGGTATAACGAGGGGTCACGAAATGCTAAATTCGAAAACAGATTAAAATATGGAAGATTTCTTGAAACAATGAAAGACACGAACTAATCTGAATGGTTTCTCTTTCCCGTATTCATCTACTCCTGGAAAAAGGTCTTTATCTAACCACTGCATGTCAATGGGCCATTGCCACCCAACACAAATCAATGTTTACCCTCAATTAAAATCGAGACAATTAATATAAACAGTTTTATATCCTAATACTGTATTTACATACCGCAAAATTTATCTTAAATAAAGATAACCTTTCATACTTTGCAGGGGAGTGCCTTAATTGCACTAAAGATATATCCTAGAGAGTAGAGACTGAGAAACTTGGGAAATTCCCATACGTGAACGTTGCCCCCCCCCCCCTGGGCGTTAACACCGGGTTAATTAGTGGCTTTGAAGTATTTAGGAAAAACCAGTATGTCTCTTTCATTTAGTCTATGTTGCATATAGGCTTCTTTAAATGACAAATATCTCGCAGTTTATTTTCTTTTCCCCGTAACATTTTACTCCTTTATTTTCCTTGTATTATAAGCCTTCTGTAAACAAATCAACTGTTATTAATGCATAAATAGACTGTCTGAATTAGTACGATTGGTGTTTGGGTTAATCACTGCCCAATATGTATATTCCAGAAGAAAACAAATGTTGCTCATTTTTTATTTTAAAAGCATTACCGATAGATTCGCTATCTGCTGACACTGAATATAGTGTTAAATTGAATATTAATACTTAAATTTAAAAACAAATATTGTTCTTTGTGGTAACGTGATACTGTCGAAAGTCATTAAAACGTCGATATTTCGTGTTCTTTTAATTTCTTGCAGACATGCCATCTGAGACACCGAACGGACGTAACATCACCGCAGAGAACGTAGACGTCTTCGCCAGGTTCATCCACTATATACAACAGTCAGAACAGATTCAGAGTGTCGTCGACGATTTCAAGTCGACCTGGCCATACATCGTAGGGGCTCTCTGCATCGTCGTCCTCTTGTCGTTCTTCATTCTCATCCTCATGCGATGGTTGATGGACGTGGTGGTGTTTGGATCCATCCTGTGTCTCTTCGCGTTGCTAGCAGTGGGCATGTACTACTGCTATGACACCTGGTTATGTTACAGGGACGGAGAAGTGAAATGTTATTCCATGCCCATAGACGATCCTTTCAATCTCTTCAGCTATCTCCAGTCTGAGAACACATGGCTAGCTTTCGCCATTATCTTGACCGTGATTGCCGCCATCCTGCTACTACTGTGCCTGGTCTTATTCAGCCGGTTCCGACTTGCAGCCAAATTGCTAGGTGAGGCAAGCAATGCGGTGGGCATGATGTTAAGCACACTGGCGTGGCCTCTATTACCGTTTGTCTTTCAGTTTGGCTACGTGGCGTTCTGGGCTTTTGTAGCCGTCTACTTGGCATCTGCTGGTGTTGCTGTGTTCGAGGTGTCCAATGCTCCAAGTGATTCCCCAGTGACGAATGGAACGACTTGTGATCAAATGACGTTCAACGCTTCACTGTACGCCCCCGCGAACTGTCATTTCGTCAGCTATGGCTTGCCGTCATACACCATCTACCTTCAGATCTATGGAGTAGTAGGATTGTGGTGGATGCTTAACTTCTTCATTGCTTTAGGAGAGGTGACTTTAGCAGGAGCCTTTGCCTCGTACTACTGGGCTTTTACGAAGCCCCGAGATATTCCAAGCCTCCCGCTTGCCTATTCTTTCTGGCGAGCCATTCGTTATCACCTGGGCTCTATGGCTTTCGGCGCTCTCATCATCACCATTGTCCAGCTCATTCGAGCCCTCCTCGAACTGGTCGAAGAAAGGACCAAAGATGCCAGTAACGTCGTGACTAAATTCATATTCTGCTGTTGCAAATGTGGATTTTGGTGTCTGGAGAAGTTCCTGCGTTTCATCAGTAAGAATGCCTACATCGAGATTGCCGTCTATGGGCGCAATTTCTGCTCTTCGGCTTCAAGCGCCTTCAATCTCCTCATGCGAAACATCGTACGCGTAAGCGTTCTAAATGGTGTGACCGGTTTTATGCTCTTCCTCCTGAAATCTTCTATCGTTGTAGGCATCACGGTCGGTGCGTTCTACTTCTTTCAGCTCCAGGTGACGTCGGGAGGTAACACGTTTTACGTCGTCCCGGAAATCAACAACGTCTGGGTGCCGATCACCGCTATTGCGTTCGTATCCTTCTTCATCACGACGGCATTCTTCGGGGTTTACGACATGGCCGTCGATACCCTCTTTCTTTCTTTCCTCGAGGATTTGGAGAGGAATGATGGATCTCCAGAGAAGCCTTACTACATGTCCAATGGTCTCATGGACTTGGTTGGCAAGCATAACAAGAAGCAAAAGAAACACAAGAACGACTGAACGTTTTACGGATAATTTTAAGTGACTATTAACAACATAATATTGACAATAAATATGAGCTTTATTTGGCTCAAGTGTCGTGTCAAAGGAAGTGTCTTGGTTTGAAAATACCAGGATAATTGTGAAATAATATATAATATAAAAATGTAAATTTTCCAAAGTGAAAAAAAACAAACAACAACAATCGATGTCGTAGCTTTTCATAGCGCAAATAAAGGAAATTCCGTGGTTAATTTACTTGACTTTCCATCAAAGGATCGAATATGCGAATCCCAGTCCGGCACTTCCACGGTTGCCATTTTCACCCAGGTGTATCGTTTCTCTATATGCTAGAGCGCTACACATTTGAGCAATATTGTAACGGACCAGCCCGTTACAGGTAGTTATCTTGCAGAAAACGCAGAGGGCAGTAAGCTTTTGGGGCGTAAGGGCTCAGAGCGCAATTACGGACGCACCATGCGTAAAGCAGCTCTCAGAGCGTCTCAGAAGCTATAAATAGCAGTATTGAGCGGAGGTTTCGTCATTTCGACGCTGGCTCTCGTCTTGGTCAGATAGCGAACTCTTCGCTTTGCTCCAACTGAGCTAAACTAAGGAAAAGGATTAGAAGCGAGAAACAGAGTTCCTACAAAAGGCAATCCCTGCCTTAACTACTTGTTGAGATTAATCCAGGTAATCGGTGACGGTGTTAACTATGATAACATGTTGGAGAAGTTGACTTATGTTTGTATTAATAAAGTATACAGTTAAACAATCCATCGTTTCATAACGTGTAATTAGTTGAGTCTCCATAGACTGATGTAATATAACACTCTCATAGAGAATACACGTCCAGCTATCCAAAACATCTCTCATCTCCACACTCATATACTTTGGGAAAACGGAGCCACGTCCGGGCCTCTAAACTTCAAGCCAAATAGAAACCGCTCGCATTATTCAGGATGGCAAATTCTTCGTCAGATGACGGTGATAGAGGCAAGGGACAGGCCAGCCCTCCAGCATCCAGGACCCGTTCTAGGATGGAGGGCCATAACGATATTCTTAGATTTTAATATTGTTGGAGTTCATGGTTCAGATTTGTTTTTGATTTTTTTTTTTTTTACTAATGTCAAAGTTTAAATATGTTTTTTGAGGATATAAGACCGAAGCAGAAAGTCTAAAAATGTGTACAAACTTCATACTTCTCAAGGAGTGTGATTCACACATTCCAAGTAAAAGCTATGACACAATGGTCTTTTTAATCAAAACATGACATCCCATGCACAGCCAGGGGCGTCGCTAGACCTTTTTCAGTGGGGGGGGGGGGGGGGGTGTAGAGGCCAACGATTACCGACAAAACTAGCCACCAATTACCGACAAAATTAAATGTCCCAATATCTACAAATTTAACCCTATAAACCCGGGGCCGAAGGCTAAATTGTTTTTCCTATGGTCTATCTATAGTACTTGCGTATGCGCAAATGATCATTTTCCTCGACGACATAAATATACGAATTATTTCGTCAACTTAGTCAACATCATAGCTATATATTTTAATGCAGGCGCGAAGCTAGGATCTTATTTTAGGGAGGGGCCGTGGTGAGCGAGCGAATCACTTAAAGAGCGCTCTTTAGGGAGGTGTCGGTATAAGGCCTCCCGCGCGAAGCGCGGAAGCTTAGACTTTTCCTTAAATTATTAGGAAAAGAAGACGATTTATTGTACCGATCTTGACTGTTAATCCTTGTCTGAATGAAATTCCCCCCGCCTCCCGCGCGAAGCGCGAAAGCTTTGGCGTTTCATTAATTTATGAGAAAAAGCAGACGATTCGGTGTTCTGTTCTCGCACTTAATCCTTATCTGAATTCAGTTCTCCTCCTCCCGCGCAAAGCGCGGAAGCTTTGACGTTTCATAAATTATAAGGAAAAGAAGACGATTTATTGTACCGATCTTGACTGTTAATCCTTGTCTGAATAAAATTCCCCCCCTCCTCCCGGCGAAGCGCGAAAGCTTTGACGTTTCATTAAATTATGAGAAAAAGCAGACGATTCGGTGTTCTGTTCTCGACTCTTATATCTTATCTGAATTCAGTTCTCCCCCTCCCGCGCAAAGCGCGGAAGCTTTGACGTTTTATAAATTATGAGAAAAAGCAGACGATTCGGTGTACTATTCTCGACTCTTAATCCTTATCTGAATTCATCTTAATCCTTATCTGAATTCAGATCTGCCCCTCCCGCGCGAAGCGCGGAAATTATGGCGTTTCATTAAATTATTAGACGATTCGTAGAACAGTGCTTGACTCTTAATCCTTGTCTGAATTCAGTTTCTCCCCCTCCAGCGCGAAGCGCCGAAGCTTTGACGTATCATTAAATTATGAGAAGAAGCAGACGATTCGGTGTCGGCCTACTGTTCTCGACTCTTAATCCTTATTTTAATTCAGTTTTCCCCGCGCAAAAGTTTTGACGTTTCGTTAAATTATTAGAGAAAGAAGACGATTCGTTGTACCGTTTTCGACTTTTAATAAGCCCAAATTGTCTGAATTCAGTTTCCCCCTTTAGCGCGAAGCGCGGAAGCTTTGACGTTTCCTTAAATTATGAGAGAAAGAAGACGATTCGTTGTACCGTTTTCGACTTTTAATAAGCCCAAATTGTCTGAATTCAGTTTCCCCCTTTAGCGCGAGGCGCGGAAGCTTTGACGTTTCCTTAAAATATGAGAGAAAGAAGACGATTCGTTGTACCGTTCTCGACTTTTCTACATGAAGTTTTCCCTTCCCCCACGAAGCGCGGAAATTTTTCTGTTTCATCAAAATATAGAGATAAAGACGATTCGTTGTACTGTTCTCGACTCTTAATCCTTATCTAAATTCAGTTTTTCCCTCTTGCGCGAAGCGCGGAAGCTTTGACGTTTCCTTAAATTATTAGAGAAAGCAGACAATTCGTTGTACCGTTCTCGACTCGTCTAAATGAAGTTTTCTCCTCCCGAGCCAAGCGCGGAAATTTTTGCGTTTCATCAAAATATGAGAAAGGAAGACGATTCGTCGTACCGTTGTTGACTCTTAATCCTTGTTTGAATTTAGTTTCCCCGAAAATTTTAAACCTCTGATTTCTTTAGCTGATATTATAGGAAAGTGAAACTTCGGGTAAAATACAAGTATTGTAGTTATAGTCACTCTCAAAGTCGTCACAGCTGATAAAAGGTCACAGTTCGTAGGGAAAAAAACTTGTCGGCCGACCGACAATATACCGACTTCAAACTTCTGCATTGATATAGTACACAAGGATCGAGCAAGAATACCGACACAGCTGACCCGACACAGCACCATATATACCCGTGTCGTTCTTGCTTCCTTGACGAGACGACTCCACCCAACAACCCCCCCCCTTTCTTTTACTTCCACTCCTCCTTTCTCAGGCTCTTACCTCCCCCCTCCCCTCCCTCTCTCAGGCTCTTACCTCCCCCCTCTCTTCTCTCTTTCACCCTCCGTTTCTTTGTTTCCCTTTTCTCTTTTTTCTTCTTCTCTTTTTTTCTTTTCTTTCTTTTCTTTCTTTTCTTTTCTTTCTTCTCCTTTCTTTCCTTTCTTTTCCTTTCTTTCTTTTCTTTTCCTTTTTTTTTTCTTTCCCTTTCCCTCTCTTTTTTCCCCTCCCCCTTTTATCTTTTTTCCCGACGGCAGCGCAATTTTACCGACAATATCCTGACAGGTGGAGGGGTGTCGCACCCCCTACACCCCACCCGTCTGGCGACGCCCCTGTGCACAGCCCATTAAAACATTGACGATATTTTGAACCACCGTTTAGGCGTTTACACTTTCAAGTTTTGGTGAGTTTTTTCGGTTCTGTGGTCGTTGCTGTGGCTTATTGATCGCGAGCAGAGTCACATATGCACCCCTCTTCCCAACATTATTGGCCAAACCTTAAACGATATACCTATCCGCAGGCGCGGATCCAGGATTTCTTATGGGGGGGGGGCCCAAATTTAAAATTATGCTAGCCAAATATTGGTACGTAATGGTAATGGGCAATAAATTACGGTCAGATGAGCATATTTTGATACCTTATTTGTGACACTGGCAGGACACAAATTGGTGCTGGGTCCAGGGGCGAAGCCCTCAGAAGCTCAGGGTTTTTATACATTAAATTATCGTCAGATGAGCATATTTTATACCTTATTTGTGACACTGGCAGGTCATGATTTGACGTGGGGTCCAGCTGACGGAGCCCCCAGAAGCTCAGGGGTTTGGGGCAATAAATTACGGTCAGATGAGCATATTTGTATACCTTATATGTTACACTAGCAGGACACAAATTGGTGTGGGGTCCTGGGGAAGGAGCCCCCAGAAGCTCAGGGGTTTTATACATTAAATTACCGTCAGATGAGCATATTTTGATACCATATTTGTGACACTGGCAGGTTACGAATTGACGTGGTGTCCAGGGGGCGAAGCCCTCGGCCCCCCCCCCCCCCTCCTGGATCCGCCACTGCCTATCCGGGTTATTGTTCGTAGTTCCTTACTACGTGTCATACCAGTGTGTTTGTGAAGTGAAGATGCAAACAATGACCTCGGTGAGATTACTCGGAAATATAATTTCAGAATTTGGGGCTAAAATGACTTTGTTCCGGGATCGTTATCATTTCCACCCATAACTTACATTCCGGATGTATAACTATTTTTTAAATATTTTTTATTTTTATATAATTTTTTTTTGGGGGGTGGGGGGGGGGGGGGGGGGGGGGGGGTTTGGATGGGGGAGTCTGCTGTAAGTACGCATGTTTGCACCCCGTAGTTTACGATTGTCCTTGGCTGAATAAACATCATCTTATATACCGATTACTTTGCTTATGCAGAAATATTTATAAAAAACATTTTTAAAAACAGGTTCGTGTTAAACATAAGTCCAGGCTCAATTTTGTTCACAGTAACATTTTGAAGAAAAAAAAGCCTCGTTTTCAGCTCAGACGTGAGCAAGACTCTATAAAAAGAAATGAGCTGGAATGTCAACATAGCTAGGCTATGATAATATCTTGAAACTAAGGATTTTCCGAGGAAAAAAAAATAATCTCGTGGGTATGACGCATTGCTGATTGACATCCGGCAGTGGCATAATTATGTGGGGACTGGGGAGGGAGATATACGAAGTATCTTACATTCAGTTGTATATTATGTCTAATATAGCTCCCCTGTGTCATAAATGAAATCCAGAGTTTTTCGGAACTAGAGATAGATGCCATGTGTTGCGTCTGGCCAGATGAAAGGGGCTACCTGTAGATTTATACATGTTGTGGTGCATCCGGGGGGGGGGGGGGTGGAAGCATGATGGGTATAGACATGTGCAAATCCTATTATGCATGGATATCCCAACAATAATGAAAATTCTAAATAACTTCGTAGGGCGCTTCGGGTTTTTTTTTTACGTGTTGGAATTGTGCTTATTTGATGTGCGATAATCTGGTGGAGAAACGTTTACAGTGCACTCTCGTTATAAAGAACACCGATATAACAAAATTTCATTATAAAGAAGTAAAATCTCTGGTCCCATATGTGGGATTCCCTTTGTATTCTATTGTTTTTGCAACCCTGATACATGTATAAAGAAATTTGATTATAAAGAAATTTCATGGGTCCCGAGGACTTCTTTATAATGAGAGTGCACTGTACATGGTGTTCTAGAGGTGAAGGATATGCAGGATGTTAAGAATGTGGATAAGATATCCCTCCCCGCCCGTGGCAGTGACCAATAAAAGACAATGACACCATGGACCGTGTGTTGAGTGGTCTGACATAAGTGTAACGTTTATA